CTATGACATGAATTCTGTCTGGTTGGTATGATTAATTAAATATCATTTCCTCATTAGCATCCACCTGAGCTGCATTGCGCAAGTACTTAAGAGCACTGTCAGTGCCCTGAATATTCATGCATTCTGCTTATAATCTCTGAACTCTGTGCACAATGGAACTTTTCAGAATAGCAGAGTCAACCATAATTACGCAGGGAGACATGCTGGTCAGGTCTTGTTTCTCAGGGTCATGCAGTTCGAAAGCACAGCTGTAGGCAGTTTGCAAAGATTGCTTCTCTCTTCCCCTTCTAAGATACTGTCACATCAGCCACGAGCATTTTCTGCTGTAATTTATTGTTTCTTCCTATATTGAGTCAGAAGGGTATGCATTTTTTCTTGGCTAGGTTAAACAAATCAGTCATTTCACAAAAGTTTCCAAGTGATAGTTTGTTGTAAGCAAGACCAGATATGTTCTCTTTACAGATCCAGAGTTAAAAAGAAAAAAAAAGAAAAAGAAAAGAAAGAAAGAAAAGAACAGGAGAGCTTGAAAAACAGCTTACAGTTTGCTTTGGGCTGAGATCTTATCAATGAAAAGACAGAAATTTCTTTCATTAGCATGATGCCATAGTGAAAGTGAAACTGGTATTTATGAAAGTATATTGCATGCTGCTTTTCAGTTAAAACTCTTGAGTTTAAATTAGCAATATTTGTAAAAAGCCTGATGTTAAGGGGTGTAGGGTACTGACTTTCAGAGCACACACATTAAGGTCTCAAGAACAGTTGAATTACAGGATGTTTGTCGTTCATCTCAGGTGCTGTGTTAGAATGGTGTCAATAGGAACCTCTCTTGGCTTTTTTCTGACTTTCATAAAAGCAAGAAATAAAACCCCTGGGGGAAAAACTCTCTGCCCTATCCTAACGCCTTGAATACTTGAACTCTGAAGTCAGTAAAGCATGACTGTATCTCTGAATGCTGGAGCTTTAGCCATAGTGTTATCCTTGGCATCAGCAACTTTCAGCAAATTGGGGACAAACCCATATCTTTAAACATCAGATGCCTGCAGACTGACGGATAAAATTTTAGCAAACCTTGCCTTCAGCTCAGTTATTACTGTCATTTTGAACTATCTCTCCCTGCAACAGATTTGCCTTATAAATATTGTAGTATGTTCAGGATTGGCTGAAGGGATGCTGTGACCTTCTGCCAGAAGAAGCAAGTCTCTTATAAAAGAGACTAATGTCTCTTAGAAGTCAGAAAAGTGAGATTTTTAAAGGTGATATGTGGTCTGAGGACATCCCTGCAAGGTCAGCAGTCCTCAGCTAAGGCATAAGCAATTCTTCATTATTCCCATTCAGTCCAGAGCAAATCACAGCCTGTCCTCTGTTGCGGTAAATCTGTTCTTTATTCTGTCCCCATTAATCCTCAATATAGGGATTCTTTGGGCTGATCCTTCTTAGGTATTCCTACAGCTGCCCAAAGGCAAGCCTGCCCTGGCTTAATTTATTTTTATTCCTCTCTCCTTTTCTGGCTATCTTTTGTAGATCAGGAGTTGATGAAGTCCTTGACAGATCCCAGCACTTACTGTAAATTCATTCTGTTTTAATACCTGGTATTCTCCTGAGGCATTTGCTTTCAAAGGAATTAGACACCTGTCATCACCTTCAGTAGATTTCAAGCTTTCTTAGATTATCCTAAGGTGAAAATAGCATTCCTGTTGAAAAATCATAGCTTAGTCTGAAGGTTGGAGTCTTTCTGTGAGTAAATTTTCTTTAAGCTGATGAATGCAGCTGCTGCCTTGACAATTTGTGAGTTTATTTCCTTCTGGATATCCCCACCGGCTTCCATGTTACTGCCAAAGAATGTGAATGGAGGCATTTTTTTTACTTCTTTTGCCTTCTCAAGTAGTGCTTAAACTGGGAGTTAAAAGAGCTCTCATTAGGTTCACTTTTCCTAACTGTTCATTAACCCCCCTCCTTGTTCCAGCGTTGAACAATCCTTTGATCTTTGCGCGTGGGTTGATTTCTGATTTACAGTGGCTATATTGTCCGTTTAGTGTGTTGTGGCTAAACTACGTGGATTTTGCATATGCATTTTTGTGATATTGATAGCATTGGCAGTACCTCCTGAAAGGGAGGAGAACACTCCTTTGTTTGCCACCAGTATCTATTCAGCCATTTGCCTGTGTCCCTGGTTTCTGAGACTGGGCAAGTTGCTTATGGGCTTTGCCTCAGTGCTTGCAGAGCAGCTCATGGGGCAGGCAGAGATCCGCACCACTCTGCGCCACGTTCCAAAGCTGATCCTCCACGTTTACAGGTCACGTTGCTCCACTGTGGCATCAAAACACACGTGTTTTCGGAGTTATATCAATGCTTTTATAGGTTTTTCTGATTTCCAGAGTATTTTTGTTAACAGCGGTGTTTGTGACAAGTTGATATTTTCCCAGCATTCTGCAGAATGAAAGCTGGATCAAGTGCCAAGCTGGAGCAGGATTTCAACCCCTGCAGCCCAGCCCCATTCAGCCATGAGCGATGTGCCCTTGCCTTGACTGCCTAGAAGTTCCGTTTGCAAAAGTCCTGCAGCAGTTTTCCCTGCTTGAACACTTCATACCTGTGTCCAGTCCTGAGGGTCCTGTGTCGGGGTGAATCCAGCCCTGAAAACTTTTCCATGGATATATTTAATTGCTCTATAAATATTTGGGAACAGAGAGACTGTAGCAGTGCGTTTAGCTGTCCAGAATAGGAGGAAAGGTATTTATGAGAATTTGCTGTTCAGTTGGAGTTTGATTTTTATCCCTCTTTTAATGATGTCCTCTCTTCATCGGGCAGCATGAGTAACAATTCCCCCTTTGTATGTATTTTGTATCTATTCCTATTTCCTATTGAAATTCCTAGGAAAGAGACTATCCAAGTACAGAGTTGAAAATTTCATCTTAAAATAAGCCAGATGTCCAACCTTCCTTTAGCTGCCAAGCCCAAAAGAGTTCAAGAAAGATGTTAAAATCTGTCTTCCTGGCTGTGAAAAACTAATTGCATAGCATAGGTGATGATCCCAATCTCCCAGGAGAAGGAATAAAACTGCCTCGGGCAAAAATCTGCTGTTATTTGTCTGAGGATTGGAGTTGGCAGTATCTGTGGAAAAAGTTTCACTGCTTGCCCTCCTTGCTGGTTAACAAATGCACAGAAACACAGACAAAGGTAGGTGAGTGTGTATCAGTAGCCGAAAACCTTATTCACCTAGTGAGGAAAGTGTCTTTTGTCTCTTTTTTGGAGAAATTCAGTGCTAGAGAAGTGCAGGGAGGGATGCAGTAAGAATAATGAACAGGTGCACATATTTTCTTTCAACAGTAAAGCAAACACACATTTGGTGAATACAACAAGTATAAGAAACCTGTTAATAAAAAGTCATCAATGTGAGTGACTAAAGATAAATATTAGAGCTGGCCTGTGTTACTTTTGTCAGCAAGCTTTTCTGGTGCTACAGTTCTTCCTATGCAGAACTGAGAACACACATTGTATACATAGGTATCTCCCTGTGCTGGGTTGTCTGAAGCAGGATCCCACCAATTCTGTTTTAATGTTCCTTTCACGTGAGGCCATTTTGCATAGGTCTTGCAGTGATCCACACAGGAAGGAGAAGCTGTGTGTGCTCCAGCCCAGAACAAAGCTATGCCTCTTGCATTAGATGGCCTTTGAGCAGCACCCGGGGTTTGTTACGATACTTCAGAACAAATAGATGGGAGAGGAGGTGGAGGAGTGCATGCATCCACCTGTACTTTTGCCCCTATGTTCTGGCCTTACAGTCATCCACACTGCATTCGCATTGTTCAGACTTCCATCCAGTCTCAGCAGTGCTGATATTTGGAGCGTCCTAAATCTCTGGTTTGCCATTTTTAAGAAGCAGCAGTCTGAAATGATAACATTTTTCAGGGAAAGAGCTCCACTGTGCTGACCTTGTTCAGAAACAGCAGAGGATAGAAAATGTGAATGTTTTGACACCATCCTAATTATATTTCCTGACTTTTCTCCCACCTCCTCCTCCCCATCATTTGCTTGTGTGTGGCTCTAGCAGAAATAGGAATCATACCAAAGTCCTGCAACCTATTGTTTCTTTATTTTAAATACAAGGTTCTTTTATTAACTCCAGCTGGTGCACCTCGCTGTGCTCACTGCATTTGTTTTATTAAAATTGAACTGCGTGCAAGTAGGACATTGTAAATCACAAGTGACTGGGCCAGAGGAAGAGGGAGGGAGAGGCAGGGACTCCAATTGTATGACAACAAAGAGAGCATATAAACAGGCTGGGCCTCTTGGCTAATAGAAGCCAAAACTCACGAAGTACAATTTGCAATTGCTCCCAGGAGGACAGACAAGTGCCAGACAGTTAGCAGGGATAGAGGAGTGAATACTTGAATACCTAATGTGTTCTCCTACATACTGGAACAGAGCTTCTCTATGGGTCTGGGCATGCAGGAGCTGACTGCCTCCACTGTAATCCTTGGTTACCTGATACCAGTGCCTTGCGGTGGTCACCTGGTTTGTGGAAGTAGCCTTGTCAGGCAGACAAAGTCTGGGAGAAGGTGTTTAAACTAAGGCAACCAGTTCCACTGTCTCCCTCATGAAGTGGGAGTATTCCTGGGCAGTATTCAGCAGTAGTCATTTTTCAGTTTTGCATCTTTGTGGCTGGTGGAAAGATTTGCACCTCAGTCCTCTTGGAACCTCATGGACATTGAGAGAGACAGCTAGTGTGGGTGGACTCAGGGTGAAATGAGTCCACACAGAAAGACAACCCCCATGCTAGGACTGTTTTTCTGCATGCAACACTCTGGGAGCTGCAGAATGCTGACAAATGCGACAACTTTATGAAGGGTCTCTTGTTAATAAATTTGCTCAGCGTTGAGTCCATACTTATCCACTGATCTACTGCACACTTCAATTCTGGCAGTTATTTTTATGCTGTACGTAAACATATGATTTTGAAGCTGTTCAGCTTTGCCCATGTCTCAGCCTCTTCTCTTCTCCAGTGCTCCTCAACCTGTGGGAAGGGCCTCCAGTCGCGTGTTGTGCAGTGCATGCACAAAGTCACCGGGCGCCATGGCAGTGAGTGTCCTGTCCTGTCCAAGCCAGCAGCCTACAGGCAGTGCCACCAAGAGGTCTGCAATGAGAAGATTAATGTCAACACAATTACCTCGCCCAGACTTGGTGAGTGAGGGGTCTTGGGGTGAAGGTGCCACCTGTGAAGGACCAGATGAAGCCCAACATCTCAGTATATTAAAAAAAAAAACAAAAAGAAGAAAAAAGGGGAAGAAAAAAAAAAAAGGAAAAAAAAGTGGGGCTTCCAGAAATTAGGAGAGAGACACTCAGTCAGACTAAAGATCTGGAGTGGTTAGGTCCTTCCTTACCCATCAGTTCTTGCCACAGACTGCTCAAGGTGAAGCACCACGCAGTGGCTAGGCCTGTGGGACCAATAGGACTAGTGGTGGATGATTGGTTGGTGGATCACAGAGGGAGCTGACAGATTTATCCTTCTTGGTCACAAACAAACATCTCACCGCGCTTTAACTGTGGTGTGTGTAAAGTATGATATTTTATTCTTCTGTGCCCCAAGGAAAATGCATGACCTTGACAAGTAGAGCATGACTGGCTTTAGTTTCTTTTTCCTTCTCATTTGTTGCCACAAGAATGTGGTTTGATGAATTAATTTGCTCTGGGAGGCAAGAAAGCATCCAGATCCCTTCTGTGAAAACTTGTTTTTCTGCCACTGTCCTCACCCTCCCTGCATTCACTGTGTACCTGGCCAAGCTGACTACTGTGGTAAGCCATTTGTTTTCCAAAACACTGTGTTTAAGAGAAGGATCTAGTTAAGAATGCTTATGTTAATACAAAATTGTAGGAATCTGTAATTTTCCATGTCATATTTGCTTACTTTACAAGGGAATAATTTTTTTTTTTCTTCAAACTTCAGCTTTTGTCCTCAGTCAAAGCTCAAAGAGCCAACCTGATTTCTTTGCATTTCACACATAATCAGCAGTAAGACAAAGCTGAACTAAGCCATCAGTTGCTGACACAGACTAACTGCTACCTCCCACTGCTTGTAAGAAGAACAGCTTCCATCCTACCACCTCTTGTAGACAAAAAGTCTCTAACACCCGTGAAAATGCAGAGCTACTAAGTAGTAGAGAACCATTTCTGATCATGCTTTCCAGCATGATTTAAATAACATTTGAACTAGGACTGGACATGAGGCCTCTGAACTGAAAGTTGTTTCCCAAAAGTTCAGTAGCTATTTAAAAGAGTATGGGAAATTTTAGTCTTGCAAATACAGACATACTGAGGAGCTTTTAAGCTCTTTTGTTTAAGAACATCTGAGAGTGCTTCCCAAATATTTTAGCACTAAGAGCATAGTGGAGGGAAAACATTTCGTTTGAGAAATAAGCCTTTGATACACTGATGAGAAAATAAACCCTTTCTAATTCACGTTTTTGAACAAAGCAATAAAAAGCTCTTGTGTTCAGAAGACTGAGAAGGCTTGAGTCCCTGCTGAAAGTAATCTGCAAGTAATTTGGGATGCTTTATTTCAAAACCAGGCTTGGAATCACCAGGCCAGAAACAATGATATTTGATATTAGCGGAAAGATACATCATTGAATGTTTTGCTCTTCCTACATATATACAGATTCTCATTGAATTTTTTTTAAACAAAATTTTCTGTTTTCTGCAACCTCACAAAAAATATACAGGAAAAAATCCAGTCATGTGCTGTCTTGTCCTCACTCTACAATGTTTCTCACCCTCTGTAATGTTTCTAGTAGTACATAAGATTGGAGTTCACCTTGCCTGACTTTCATATCTGTGTCCAGTGTCCCTCAGTGAAGACACATTTAGAGGGGATTTATTTTATCCCCCAGGTACCTGAGCTGTGTTTCTTCCAATATGTGCTTCCTGTCTTACTTCACAACCCATAACAGATCTTGGACCTGTAAAAAACCAGAGTTCTGTTTTATCTGTGGCTCAGTGCCTTTCCATTACATAAAGCCTTCCATCAGATTCCTATGATGTGGCTCTGATATTCCTGCAGAGTACCTAATTAACCCAGCTACGTCATGTTTTTGTACAGTATGCCTTTTTGGAACCATAGCTAGCAGAGAGTGCATCAGATCTTACCTCAACGAGCCCCTTCACTGCTGGCAGGCACAGAAATAACTCTACCCTCCTTGCATTTAAGATGATAGCTGTTTTTTCTCTCAAATTGAAAAAAATAAAAAAAAGATTTAATGTTTCTTTTTTCTCAGTGCAATTCCATTGCATCAGATTTTATCAGACCTTTACTTCAACTAAACGCAGCTTTGGTGATAGGCGTTCCCACCAGTTCTCGGTGGTTTTCTGGTGCTTGACACTGAGACTCAATGCTGAATACAGGGTAACATCACCTTTTCATGTTCTCCAACTAGTCCTTTTTTTTTCCAGCCTCAAAAGCAGGAATAATTATTTAGAAGATTTTTCAGTTACCACTGCATTCATAAGACTGCTACATTCAGTTCATAAATCTGTAGTAGCATAAAAAGCATTTGCTACCGTCATGCATTTTTGTCACATATAGTTTTGTTCCTGTTACTTTTTCATAAAATCACTGCTGACACTTTAATGATATTGGCAACAGATTAAGCACCAGTATCTTCATGCTGCTTTCCACCCTGCAAAAACATTTCGTCAATCTTAGGGGGTTTCTGCCTCCCAGCAGCACTTGTTGTCCAACTAAGAAGTGTTATTTTTGCTTCCTGTTAATTTAGCTTTATATCCATCAAATTGAGTTTTGCTTTTGCTTCTCTGTAAAAAACATTTTCCACTCAGAGGATGATGACCACTCCTGACAGCACACTTTAGCAAAGCACCGTACCTGAAAGCATACAGCTTTCCATTTGCTGCTGTGCAGTACTTGTGTATTTAAGTCTAAGCTGATGCTTTAGGTATTTCATTCATCTAAACTTACTTGTCACTGAGACAAAGTAGGTACAATATCAGTAGCTCTGTGCTTGCACAGTCACAGCCAACTGCACACTAGCAATAAGCACTCCCAAGAGCTCTCTATCCATTGTCTGATGTCTCAGTAGATAGAGCATTATCCCGCCTCCAGTGCTCACAGGGAGATTGGCCCTTCCTGTGATTTTGATCACACCAGCAGTGCTGTTCTCTAGCTAATCTGCTAGTTTCTTCTTTCTTTTCTTGTCCCAAGCTGCTCTCACGTACAAGTGCACAGGCGACCAGTGGACAGTGTACTGCAGGGTGATCCGGGAGAAGAACCTGTGCCAGGACATGCGGTGGTATCAGCGCTGTTGCCAGACTTGCAGAGACTTTTATGCAAACAAGATGCAACAGAAGAGTTAATGAACCTGTGCTACTTCTTAGGGTATTACAGCTATTTGTATGTAAGTCATGGACTAGTAGGTCTGAGTACTGGAACTTCATGAGTTGCTACAGTGTGGTGGATTCCAAAGCATACCTATTGAGACTTGAAAACTAACTCTACAGACTGGATACCAAAGTAATCCACTCATCCACCATTAAAAAAAAAAAAAAAAAAAAAAAAAGGAAAGCAAAAAAATAGAAAAGAGTCATCTCAAGGAGCCAATCATTTTATCATGTTTTGACATCTTTACCTTTTTCATTAATGCTTTTTACTTTAATATATTAAATCATCAGCCACTGGATGGCTTAATACCATTAAAGGACAAGAGTTGCAAAGTGATTACATTGACTAAGGTTATAGGTGCCTCCACGGAGGAAGGCCTCTGGCAAAATAGTTAAGCAAAGGTAGAGACATTATTTAATCTTTTAATCTTGGCTTTCATCTAATGTTTTTCATTCTGAACAGTTATCCCACTGTTGAGTGGGCTTGAAGGGACACACGTAAATGAAAGGCTTAATTTAAAGAGGGGATTTACTGTAAAAGCTTGTGAAAACTGATAGCAGAGGATGGACATCTATGAAACTCCCACAGAAAGTTCATTGCAATTACATCCAGCATTCTGAGTCATATTTTTTGAGAGCAACTAATAGTGACTGCTCTTCTTTCTAATTTTAAAACACAATCTTCTCTCTCTTTTCCCCAAAATAATAGTTTCTTTTATGAAGACTAATTTTTCTCTGAGCTAATGAAATAGAAGCTTATTAACAACAGTAGATAGTTACATTTATGCAAAAACCATTTTCAACGAGGTGGGAAAAGCCAGAAAACATTGGATCCAGTAGAGCTCACTGAGGGATTGTTTGATTTAATCTCTCTCAAGCTTTTAGGAGGCATTCAGATAAGGAGAGTACCATGAAACTGGATAGGATTAGTACAGAGACAACCTTGGAACAACCTTTGTATGAAGGATGAACTGAAGAGCAGAACAGGTGTTTCTTGTCTTTTGGCTCTTGTATACATCTGAAGTTTATATAGCCTTTTGTATCAAAGTGCTACGAGCGGTGCAAGGCATTCAAGATGAAACCCTGAGTGTGCTGAAGCCCTAAGGCCAAGGGCTTCTGTTGCCTTCAGTAAAGGTTAGGATTTTGCTCACTGTATTGTCACGTTTTCTTTTGTGGTGCTATCAGGTTTGGTGCTATCAGATTGGTGCTATCAGAGCACTTAGAAAGTGCTGCATATATGATATCCTCTTCCATGTGTCTGCACTTTAAACCAAACTCCTCTCTGATATGTGAGACTTGAAACGGGAGCTCTACCCAGGGCAGAGTTTGTCCCCACCGCTAGTCCTGCAGATTGGTGTCTCTCTATCGTATCTTGCTCCAACATGTATCATTTCCCTTGCCAGGCTCCAAGGCCAGTTGTGCAGTGGTTAAGTTACAGCTCATTCTTCATAATATGAGCAGAGCCTTTTGGATGAATTGCAGCTTTGTACTCGCTCTAGAACTGTGTTACTGTTTTATTCCTTGTGGATGAGTGCAGAAGTAAGCCCACCTTTAACCCTGAGCCCACTATGGATTGCAGCTCACACCTGTCCTCAAGCTGTCTTTGTTGCTGTTATCTTCCTTTCAATGCAAGGAGGGATAAAGATTCTTAGTAACTAACATATCTTTAAAGCAACTTTTTTCTTCCTTATTCCAGTTTTCAGGATCTCACTGCAATAACTCATCAGCATTTTATCCACAGCTAAGTTTTTCCAGCACAGGGAGTTATAATTTCATTGACAGGCTAATCCTGTGTGGGCTTCACATTCGTATCTGTGCTTATTTAGTGCAAACAAGTGTGTGCACCCCAGAGCTGGCCTGTATGCACGAAGCCACATTTGCACACCATTTATTCTCAAGTGCCTGTCACAAACAGATCTGCTTTTCTGTGTCCCAGATGATTTTCACTACCAGGGAAATGATCCTAACTCAGATTTTGTTATACTGGATGTTCTTTTGGCACCTGATAGTCAGAATCCAACCTCTCTCTTCTGTTATTCCCACCCTGTATCCCAGATGCAGAGGTTGTATAAATACTTAGTAAGCAATCAATGAAAAATGCTGGGGTCCAAGTTCTGGGTCCTGCCTAAGGAAACATGAATTTAGAAGGAATTTTACTGAATGTCTGAGCACTGAAAACCACCTCGCTTGCTCTCTCAGTCCACAGATTAGCATGCATCGAGCTTTTTTAGAAATGATCAGAAACCTACATTAATTAAAAACTGATGGTACAACACAGCTCCATTTTATTACATTCTCTAACTTCATCTGGTGACAACCCTCCCATGTTATAATAGCCAGAAAAAAAAATATAAAAAGAATTTAATTCTGTTCAATACTCTTGCACTTCTGTTTCATATCATTTTATAGGAGCCTTACTATGAATTTACAGCTATGCTCTGCCCTCAGTTACTCCATACTGGTGAAAGAAAAGCTGTTTGTTTTGGTGTATCTATGGCAATTCTTTTTCTTTTAGTTGTTCTTAAAAGATTGACACTCTTTAGATTACAGTGGTGGTATTTCCATATTGTAAACAATACTCTGTACTGTTACTAAAGTACTGTACATTTCTAGTTGCACAGTGGTGTTACTGAGTGTAGATTCTCACTATCTCATGTATGGTGCTAATTTTGTTGGTGGAAAAGAATCTTAGCAGTCGAATATTGCTTGATATTTTATTATAATACAGGGATATATCCTCCATGGCAATAATACCATGTAAGTTTTTCATTACAGAGTGAAATGTATATATTTTTCCATTAGTTAATTTGCATATGTACTGTATCCATGGTAATTTTCTTTTTGGTGCTGGTTATAACTAGAAAAGATAAAAACAGTCAAACTGAATGGAAGAAGTTGTAAATGAAAACTAAAAAAAAAAAAAAAAAAAAGAAATAGAAAAGAGGATCATTCCATTTTGAAAACAAATTGAGTATGTTGAATAATAAATTTATTTTTTCCATAACAACTTTAACAAGGTTTCTGAACTTGAAAAAATATAATGCAAATCAAGCAGCTAGCATGAAAATTCAGAGCAAGGGGGGAAGCTGTAAGTAGTACCTAATGAATCTGTCTAGTACTGGACTGAGACTGGGATTTGGTTAAATCTAGGCCAACTGTGTGATAGCTGTGGTAGGTATAAAAAGTTTTTTGTCAGTAAGAAATCTGGCATCTCAGAATTCCTGGTGTGCTAACAAATCAAGGAATGATGGGTCTTGTCCCAGCTGGGTTGCAGAATAAAGCACAGGGAGTGTTAATACCTGATTACTGTCTAGCAAGGTCTCTCCTCAGGGACACAACAGTAGAACATGGCTGTTTGGAAACGATAACCTAGGTTTTGTTTGGGAAATCACCGTGTATGACTGAGCAGGCTGCCAGGAAGCTAAAGCATATGCCTGGGGACATTTTGCAAGTGCTTTTGAGAAAGGTTGCTTTCAATGTATGTTGGAGCTGAGGTGAGGTGGCAGCTAGCTGTATGTTAAATGGTAGCTGCTCTGCAGGTGCAACCCAATAACAAAGGTTGCTGAACATATGGAAGTTTATGTTGAAGCTAAACTAGGCCATCCATTTGAAAGATATCTACATAACCTAGCTGCATACTGCCCTGGTGTGAAATAAACAGAATTACTTCAGTGCTAAGTGTTTTGGATGTGTTTGTTGTAGGCACTAGCCAGTATCTTTGTACTACTTGGCTTCCCCTTCAGCCTGGTCAAAATGTCTTTTTATGAATGGTTGCACACAGGCATGGAGGATCCCTTCCTGTCCTGTCTTACAAAGATGCCGTCATCCATATCCCATTTCAGTTCTTGTTGAAGTGTCACTGTTGGAGATGGGAGCAGCACCTTTCTAAAGCAGTCCTAAAAGCAAGCGGTATCTTCTACGGCTGGTATGAGAGTCCCTGTCCCAAGATGATTTCCAGAAATTGAGCTTATACCTACTTTAAAAAATAGAGTTCATTTTCTGATCTCACGCTGGCTTCTTGGTACTGGCATAGCACCTATAGACTCCTAGTTTTCAGAGGTAGCCTGAGATGCCAGCCCAGCTGCTGTTACATATGACTCTTAACAGCATCAAAATTGTAGAAATTTCATCCAAGTGTTGCTGTATATTAACACGTCATTGTGTTTGTGTATTGCCTGGAGTCAACATATGATTGCAATTGTTGACCTGTTTAAACAATAAAACATAGCTATAAGCCTTTGGAAGCCAAAGGCATTACAGTAAGCTCGGATATGGCAATGGGTGGGAGGGGTGTAAGGAATGCTGTCATACATTTGGCTTGAAATTTTCCTGGTATGTGCCAATATGTCTTCTATAAATCTGGTAGGCTTATGTACTTACTCTGCCTGTTTTGCATGCAGCAGTTTGCTATTTTTCCTTTATTCCTAATCCCCATCTTGCAACCAGGAAACCAGATGGTTTGAAGCCATTGTCCTTCCCTGTGATCTCAGTTGTCTTTTTATTTAAGGCACCTCAGCCAAGTTCATTAAAGGCAGGTGGGGTTAGATGGCTCCAGTGCTCTGGCATGGAAGTACCATGAGGAAAGTATGATCTCTTCTCAGCTGCTTGGAACTCACTTTTGCTTCCACCAGCTCCGTCTGCTTCCCTCACTCTCTTCCAATTCCTGGTGTACAGAGCAGCCTTAGCTGTCTCTTGATCCCTCACAGCAAGCTGGCCTGGACCCTGCTTTCTCTGGAAGGAAATTTCTTTCTAAAAAGCTTAATAATGGAGCACCTTTCCCCAGCATCAGCCTCATGCACCACCCAGAGCATTACTAACTGGAGGACCTTGTTCTGCTGGTAGAGTGAAAGCTGATTGCTACTTTGTGCTTTCCTCCACACTACATGGTCTGTTGGGAAAGGCGTTTCCTCCTTGAAGAGTGGCAGCACAAACACCAGCGTGCTGAGGATGTACAGGCAGAAAAGAATCGCACCAGATGCCAGTTCAGGGCACTCACACTTTTCTGATGGTGCAACAAAAGAAGCCTGCTTGCAGACAAGTTACTTGCATCACTGGTTGGTCGTCTTGCTATGTGAAAGTAGTGCACCCAGAAACAGGCAGGATGTGGGTGCTGCTCCTCAACGGCGTTACTTCTTCAGGTACTTAAACCTGTGCTGGACACACTTGACAATACTTCTCCATACACCCTGCCCTTCAGCAGCCTTCCGTTTATTTCGGTTGGAAAGCAGGTCAGTATGAAGACAAGAGTTCTTCAAGTGCTACTAATGCACAAAAAACAGTTCTCCTTTCTACGTGGATTTTTGTTTGTCCTATCACATCTCTGGCTTCTCCTCACCCTCTTTAAAAATGGGACTGTCTGCCTGGAGAGAAATGTGCCTTGGACAAACAAGACCAAAGAATCTTCGCTTTGGATTTCTTGAGAACTGTCTGTTTTACAAAGGGAGTTTAGGCAAGAATGTCTAAGCAGAGACGGCTCACAACCTCTCCTGTAGCAGCAGCTGCCCCAGAGGATGACTGGGGTGTTTCCAAAGATGATCTCCACGCATCTCTCATGGTTTCTCTCTTTTCAAGACCCTTTCATGTGACAGACCCCATGATGAATGCCCGGAGGCTGCACTGTACCACATTGCTTATTTTGTCAGAGCTGCCGTCTCTGCCAAATGGTGGCCAGACACTCAGACAGAATTTCCCAATTAGCAGAGTCCTGCAGCTGATGTCTGAGGCTGCATCTGTGAGCCCTGTGCATTACTACGGCTGAGACACTGGCTAGGCTCACATGGCTCAGGGTAGGTAACCGCCTCAGCCATAGGGCAAGGAGGAAGCAGCTGGGCTTCCTTGAAAGATGTGATTTCCCTCAGTTCCTCTTGCTTGGCTGTGAAGGCAGCTATTTGGGTGTTTAGTCCTTTCATCCTTCTGTGGCCTGGATGGATCTGGAGCCTCCAGAGTGACTCATCTGGGTTATGCCACAAGCCTTGGCTTCCTTCTCAGTCTCAGCAGGGAGCGACTGCACACGGTGGCGGATCCCACAGGTCGTCAGTGTGTGTGGCCAGCTCCTGGCACAACTCAGGCTCCAGGTGAGTCCTTGAATCGTTGGCATCTCCAGCTTCTCCTGAGCCTTGGGCTTATGGCAGTCTCAGTGTAACTGCAGAGATGTCTGCCTTGTCCTTTTCCCTCTGCTCCCCGCAGACACATCTCATGTCCTTGTCTTTGCTGCATGCTTACAGCTGCTTTGTGTTCCAATGCTTTGCACCTTTCAGAAACTTTGCCACTTTTGCTGCGTATGCAAAATAGCCTTCCTCCTCAGCACAATTGCATTTAATCTCTCTCAGCCTTGAAAGAAAACATTCTTCTAATTTTACTCTTGCAGTAGCCTCGTGTCTACCCTCACAGTTACTTTCTGGCTGTGTTTGTTTCTGAGATCTTTTATAATGTTTCAGTGTTTTTTGTGCAGTGGCATTTGTATGCTGCAACCAGACATGGATGATGAAGGCCATATGCAAAGAAATGGTTCTCCTCTGAAGACCTTACAGACTGCAGGTGGTCGTGGGGGAAAAGGTAGATTCCTGAAGCAGCTACTTGCCATTATTGGCAGCAACAATCTGAAAAGGTACGGAGATGAATGTGTGCTTCTTTTGAATGAGCCTATGTTGTGATTACCATGCTAGCAGGGAGTGGAAAGGGATATCTCCCATTGGTTTTCTATCCTCAGATACATTTTTTGTCATTGAAAGTAGCAGAGGATAAAATCCACATCAATTCTGGGATGCCCCACGCAGCAATTGAACTGCAGGATCCAAATCCAAGCTTGGCTACTGCTCAAAACACAGGCTGGCAGAGAGAGGGAAATGCTGATTCGTTCAGCAGGAGAGTGCTGGTAGCGTGCCAGTCTGTATGTCTGCTTCTGCTCCCAAAAAGCATCAGCTATCAAAAGACTGTGGGCAGTTTCCTGTAGGGTCGTTGCATACAGCATCATTCTGCAGTCGTTGCGATGACAGGCAGTGAAACAGTTCAGAATTTGAAAAGGAGGTGTCCTCTGATGGAACACAAAGTTGAGCACTACCTGGGTCTGGCGAGCAAAGCAAGACAAGCCACTCTTCTGTAGGGGTTTTTCTTATTTGTCTTTTTCATTTTCTTGGAAAAGACATTATTTGAACACTTAGCAGCTTCCATTTATTTCCCCAGCTCTGCATTTTTCCCCTTGATTTTGTCTCTGATGGCAGAAAGACCCAACCAGACTGCAGCTTTGTTTGGCATCAAACTTGCCTCCTGAGATGATCACACAAGAAGTCTTTTATCACTTTGGCGGCTGAGAGCCAGAGCTGCTTGTGGTGGAAGTTGCTGGGACTGTAACCCCTGGTTGTCGTGGGATGAGAGTCAAGCTTGGCCTGTCAGCAAGGCGAGTTGCAGCAGTCTGAGCCCCTGCCAGGACACGTCAGTACTCCTGAGCGTGCTTCCCCCGGTGCTGCTCTCATTAAGGAGAAGGTATGAAACCCACATCTAAGTTGCACTAGTCCTTTAAAAAAATGAAGTGTTGTCTAAAATAAAAATCCTGTCCAGAATCATGGTCTAATTCCTTAGGAAGTCACTGTAAATTGAACCTCCTCTGCTCTCACTGCCTAAAAGCCTCTTACTTTTCTTATTGATGTAGTTCAACTTCTGTGCTATTGGCACAGTGTTATCCTCAGCGCTGTCACCTCTGCTTAATGCCCAGGTTTGTGTCGAGGAGGGGGGGTCCTGCTGAACTCCTCAGGCATCAGCAGGTCTCCAAGGCTGCAGTCACCCTTCCTCACAGCTTCCCCAGTTCATTTTGTAACATGCTTACCACATCTTGAGGACGAGACGCTGACACAGCCAGAGAAGTACTGCCATCAGCTGCATTTCCCAGGTGTGAAGAAGTTGTTTCCTTTTCTCAGTCATGTTTTGCTGAAGAAATAATTTAAAAGGGAAGAAGAAAAACATGCATGATTGTGTTAGCAAGATGGAAAACAGCTTTCTGCAGCTTCCAGGTATTTATGTGCCATTGTCTCTGCAGTGCCATTAGCAATATATTGCCTGTTGCTGCCTATTAAGTACGGACAATTTTGCAATAGCTGTGTGTGCCATACCTTTGCAAGCAGTGCCTTTTCCCTGTCTGTCCTCATGGCTTAGATTATTTGTATGCAAGGCAACGGCAATGTTTATCAAGCCTTTCCATCAGCTGTACAAACTCAGAGCAGAATCAGCTGTGTGCATATGTCCCTTACTGTCAGAGCTTCAGTTTTTGGGAGGTAGGCTCTTGGGTAGATCCTATGAGATTTGGTGTTTCTTATGTATCTGTCTAGACAAAGTGCTGCCTATGCATATACCATAAGGGCATATGAGTATAGCATAAGAAAGGAAAAAGCAGATTAGTTTGTTTTCCAGTATCCCTGTAGAATGGGTCTAAAACAGAACTATCATTCACTATGCAAAAAACAAAACCAAAACAAAGCAAAACAAAAACAACAAAAAACCCTGACAAAAACATATTTGTAAAAAATGTCTTATATGTTTTTCAGGGTACCGCTAAGTCTTGCCAGGCTGCACCTCTCTCCTTCCCCACCTCACCCCAAATGCTTCCATTTTTGGCTAAAAAAAATCTCAAGTTTGAGAATTTTCTAACCACCAATGTCAGCCAAAACCCAGGCCCTTTCCTCTGATTTTTCCACTTAATTTTTAAAGTATCTTCTGGCAATTCAAAAATATTGTTTTGATGGAAAATTTTCAACCAGCTCTGCTCACTAGTTTCTGCCAACAGTCATACAGGCAAAACAGTGCATCTTCCAAGAGAGGAGACTGTCCGAGAGGGCCGAACATGAGGCAGGCAGTGACTAATGCTTCTCTCCCCAGCCACGTGCCCCAGCCAGCGCTGTGCTCTTTTGCAGGCTGCAGCCCTTGGTGAGACCCATCTTTCCAGAGATGTTTCTGGTCTAAATTTCTCTTGGCAAGTCAACTTCATAATTCAGGTATTTTGCCCAGTTGAAGGGAGGTGTGGGTGGCACAGTAGGATCACCAAGAGACCACAAGACTTGGAAGAGAAAAATTCTGCACTTCTTACCCATGTTAACTAATACTTGGACTCCTGCAGGCAAGTACCAGCTGGCAGGGAGAGGTGGGGAGATGGGGCCTAGTCCAGCTCACTATCAAAACAAACTTCCCTGTGCTATTGTTGAACAGAGCTGTTTAGAAATACCAGCAGCTGAGCCATGCACAGGCATGAGCAGTCTCCATTGTAACCCCTGAGAAGCTCTGTGGGCAAGATTCTAAATTGGCTGGTAGGCTGAAATGACACCAGTCACATCGCTGCTGTGTATCTGTTACCCATCTGTCTCTTGGGAAGGTATTTCTCACACTGAATGTGGAGCATGAATTGAAGGGAAGCTCAGCTCCTCTCAGGAAGATATTCCTGCAGAGATGGGCAGAACCTAAATTTCAGTATTTGGCTTTGGGAGCCAAAAAGGCTTCTGTGCGCTGACTACCTGGACAGTATCCTCTGAGGACAGCCATTCTGCAGCAGTCCTTAATACTTGCCAAGTTCTCTGAGATCTTCCAATGAAGGGGTTTTTAGATGTGGAAAAGCTTATAGCCCTTCTCTGACCATTGGTGATTTTAGTGGGTTAAGTTAGGAACAGGAAATACAGTGACTAGAGGAAAGCCATTAATATTAAATTCCAGCCTTTGCCGGATAGTCTTATGTTATCTTTGCTCTTTCATGAAATACTTTCCAGTTTTCCTCGCAGGGCATTTGTTAGAGGGGTAGCAACTGAGGAGCTCTATCTTGGCACATCTCCACCTGCTTTTCTGTAGCAGTGCACATTTGTGCTGTGGGATTTTAAGAATTTCCTTTGCCTTTAGAATTGATATGCAAACAGTCAGCTGTATAGACATCAGTCTGACCGGTAGACATTCTGTGTGACCCAAGAAATAATACAGGTGGCCAGCACCATGCTGGAGAAAACAGACTTGTTTTACTATGTCTAGAAGATGGGAGGTCCTGTATACACCATCCAGTAATGTAATCTGCTGTGCTTGACTGATCACAAAACACCCACCAGGATTTCCCTAACAGCACCCTTGATTATTGCCAAGGAAAGCAAAGGTTTGTAAGGAATGTGAGTCCTGACCTTGCCACCTCAAAAATAGCTAGGAGATCTCAAGATGCTCATTTCAACAGCCGAACATACGTCCCCTTTGTGCTATACCAAGTCTGCCAGGTTGATAGGAACCAGAACCTTCCGTCTCCAGCCTGCACAGTGATCTAAGTAACCTTTCATGCCAGAGCAAACACAGAGAGCCCTGTGCAGTCAGCATACAGTTCTGCCAGCATCCTTTTTCTTCAACTCCTCAAATAGCCATTGACGCTGCTGTGCTAAAAGCAGCTGGGATACGCTTTCTGTAAAAGGGGCCATCTTAATTTTCCTGTCTGCCATGTTGCTGTAAGTCACACTATGCATTTGTACCACCATGTGATAGTATGGGTTGAGAGATATTAAGACAGGAGAGATGAGGGTTTCCAGCTGCGTAACTCTGTTCGTGCCACCTCTCCCACGAGTGTCCCCACCAGGGCCAAAAGCTGTATGATTGAGCTCTTGTGCACCTTGTAGACAGACATTGAAACCTAAAAAAAAAAATTCAGGCTGGAGAGTCTCATATCACTAAACAGCTTGTTACCTGGGGCAGTACAGTTTTCTGTTAAAAAGAAGTCTTTTATTTCCCATTGATACTTGTCAGGTGGCAAGGAGAACCATTCTCCTGTCCCAGAAGGCCCTAGCTGCAGACACTGCCTTGGAAGTGAAGCTTGCTCTCATGGCTACGGCAAAGGAATGGGAAGCACGAGATCTGGCACGAAGTCCTCCTCCCACTGAAGCCAGTGGGATGTTTGCCATTGGCTTCAGGGGAAGCCAAGATTTCGGTCTGCAGCCAGATTGCTGGTGTGTTGTGCTATGCTGTGTGCAGGATCAGAAAAGGTTCTTGGTTTCCCGATGAAGCTGTTACTGCCTCACCTCCTCTGCTGCAGATAGCTGTCTCTCACCTGATGTTGCTCCCTGCTCTTCTCCCTGTTTTGAAATCTTATTCTTAGGCTAGAAACTCTTTAAGGAAGAGACTGGCTGCATGGTTTGTGCCTGCTTGCATTGTCCCACAGCTGGGGCTTCTGGGCATTCCACTGCCAAAAACATTCCCTCCTCCGTGGATGATGTATGATGCAAGAGGATGGCATAATGCAGCAATGAAGAGCTGAAAATAGGTGGTTTGAATTAAGTAAAACATGTGGGGTTTTCTCCAGGTAAAGAACTTGAATCAGCTTTAGAATTTTGCTCTGTGGTTCAGGAGAATCTGAAGAGATGGTAAAAAAGGTGCAGAGATGGGCCTTCCTGTTTCAGACTTTAACAACATGAGTTGCTGAGAGTCTTGATTTTAAAAGCACCTCTTTTTGTCATGTCTCCACTCGTTCAAGGTCAGATGGAAGTGAAATTGTGTTAATGATGAGCAGTGGCATAAGCATCTGTGAGCTTGACAGAAAACCTTGGTGCTGTAGGGTTGGCTGTGTTATGTAGTACGTAATATAGTGCTCCTCTGATGCACTGGAAAGCCTTGTGCCAGCTCATGCAGCCCATGCAGTATCTGTATTTGAAACATAGGCAGGGTTACTGCTCTCCTGAAGAGCAAGTAAAGGAAGTCATCTCAGAGCAAACTGCAATTGTTACACCAAGCAGCCCCATTTTGGCCTATGTAAGTCCTGCTGGTTTTATTTGAATGGACATGGCATGGTGGAGCCTCTCTATGCCAAGGAAAAGCCACTGCAAGCAATTCTCACTCTTTATGTGTATTTCTCCCTGAAGAGGATGTCTTTTCCTATTCGTCCTGTGGGTTTGGTCTCTACTGCCCCTTTCTGGAAACATCTGTAAATGCATCATATCTATAAAAAGGCATGAAGATTTATCTCCTGGACCAAGAAGCTGCCCTGGCTTTTCTCACTTCTTCAGGTGCCACATGTTGTACAGCATCTTCCCCTCCTGTTCAGCAGCACCTTGTGTTCTCTGGCCATCTGGGATGAGGTCTTGTTCCCTTGACGTTTCCACAAAGAGCAGCTGGTGTGAGCTTTCTGGTAAGTTGAAAGTGTTTTGATAGATTTCTTTCCCTGCCAGGCAAGGAGTTTGTAAGTGCAGGTTCTTAAAGTCTGATGTTGATCATGCTGAGATCCATAGCTAGCACTTTTACTGTGATTTTCCCTCAGTAACTTGAAGCAGAGGTACCCCAAAGTTCAGCACTGGTACAGCAGCACGCCCCAGTGCCACCTCTTTAGACACAGAAGACCTTAAGACTCAAAAATGCACTTTCCTATAGTAATAAATGGGGAAGAATAGAGAGGTGTTTTCAATTTTAAGGAGTGAGGCAAGAGGGGTGGCTTTGTGTGGTGTTCATCTTGCTGCTATCACTTTAATTCTCATAGTAGTTCCTCTCCACCCTCCTTTTTTTTTTTTTGTCACTTGTATGTGTTCTGATTTCAGCACAAAGAGGGACAAAATTGAAAGTGAGAAGGGCATGGGATCCTGGTAGTTTTAAAGGCCAGGGATCATTGCCAGCATGCACCCACTCTCCCGTGTACCATGTTGGTGATCTCCTCATGAGCACAACCCAGGAACCAGCTTCTCTCTGACCTTTGTGGAGGAGACCGTGGTGAAACTCCCTTCCTGATTCTGGATCCTGGACGTACAAAGTGTTCCTTACGAGGTTGGTGTCTACATGCTGAGCCCCAGCTGTGGGCCCATGAGCAGCTGTAAACGCAGCCTAGACTGCTACCCTCCCTAGACTGCTTACCCACCACTTGCATGAGCATGTGAAGTGCAAGAGCTCCTGCAGCTGTAGAGGCTTTCCTAGCACTTGTCTAAAAAAAAAAAGGGAACGTTTTTGTGGCATTTCTTTTTCTTTATCATCTAAGTAAGTCCCCAGCACTACGGTAGACGTCCTCTGCTGCCCACTGGGGCCCCTCTCTTCATGGTCCATGTGGCCTAGAGGAAAGGGGAAGATTTTCCCATGAGAACGTACCCATTCCTTGGCTCCAATTAGAGAAAATGTATTGCTGACGATGTTCTTCCTTGAATTGGCTCAGCTGAGAGCCTGATTAGCTATTTCCCAGTCATCTTGAAGCCCAAGGCCCATGTTTCTTTAATTTTGTCCAACATGTCAGATAGTTAGGGAAATGGTTGGGAATATTGTAAAGCAGCTTCTGCCAGTGAAGAGTCCCAGGGAAGGATCACATAGACTCCTGGTAATCATTCTCAGGCTGTCTGTTGAAACCCTGCCTATGCAAAGATCCAGGGAACTGCAGCATTAACCAGGAGGGACACAGCCTGTAGAAAAAGGCATTGGTCAGCTCTTTCTCCTTTTCTGTAGGAGATTTGGCTGGTTGTGCTTTGTTTGGTACCTGGTGGTCATGCTGGTAGTGCTCACGTGTGAGCTACTGTTCACTATAAATGCAGCATTACTAGATCTTTACTGACAGTCAGACACATCTCTTATTGCTTAATGCTTGCTCGCCCCAGTTTCCCAGTGCTGGGATCAGGCTGTGCTGTGTGCATCCGCCATGGGTGAATCAGTTAATTCCCTGCAACTCAGGGAATAGCAGAGGGACCATTAAAGCATTGCATGGCTGTGGATTTATGAATACTTTGAACTCTCTGGAAGAACAGAAGTTCCCTGAGATTATGGTTCAAAGTGAATAGAAGACAACAGCTGTCAGAACAGTTCCTTGGATACCTTTAATGATGCTAGATTAGCACTTCGGGCACCTTCAGGGGCCACCTCACTGCCCAGCTATTGAAAGGGCAGAGGCAGCTTGGGGCAGTGACCCTTCTGTTGCTCTGTATGCAGGACACAGTTGTATCGGCCAAGGCTGTGCTCAGCCCTAGATTTGCTGTAAGAGTTATAAGTGATACAATCTCATTTTTTCCAATTTCCTTCCCCACAAGTTAGCTTAAAGGGAATGAAGGCAGATCTTGCTACATCTCAGTGCATTACTAGCCAGCTCAAATGACTCCTCACTGTCTTTTCTTCTACATGAGACTCTTAATGCCCTAAGTCTTTGCATGTCCTGGCACAAAGCCCAACTGAAGCATGAGCTCCAACAGCAGTTTTAAATTTAAAGTTGTTCTTTTGGCTTCAGAAAGTCACAGATTGAAGTTGAGAGATGCATTTCAGCTGTTTACTTGCAGATCTGCAACAGCCCTGTTGTGCTATTGCTCTCGCCTCCATCATGCAGTTGTGTTAACAGCACTTTCCAATTAAAGTAGTAGCCTTAGTTACAGAAAATGCTTTTCCTATTTGGCCATTTGTCTGATGATTATTTTCTAATTACTCATGAGGCATAGAGCTGGTTTGTTTCCTATTCCTCATTATAATCAACCCATCATCATTTCTCTGGGATTCTTTTTGATGTTTTTTATTTCTTGCCATTTTGAGCATCAGCTTGGGTAACCACTCAGGCACCACGTGTGCTCACACAGTGTGCAGTGCTGATGTGAGAGACCAGGTAAATATCAGGTGCACAAGCAACTCCTGAAGTTCTGCTCACCTCCAGCAGCAAGGACATCCTGCTGTGGAAATATTGGTGTCAGGCAATCAATCGCAGAGCCTTGCAGTGTAAATTAGGACCACTTCCCTGACCTAAATGCTCCTACTCTGAAAACGTAGCCTTTACCACATTCACTGCCAAGATTAAGGCTTTTCCCCATTACCTGAACGCTCAGAATCTCTAAGATAATAAATGATGTCATGTGAACCCTGCATCTTTCTTCTGATGCAGTCAAATGAGAGCATCCTTTTCATTTCACCCCACTGAGTGGCATATGCTGGACTCCATCCTGCCTGCAGTGCAACAAGCTCAGCAGGCTGCTGCAGTGGTGGGCAGCAGGGTCTGAACTGAGCCACTGAGCCCTGAGATTTTCACTTCCTCCATATTTGCCATTGCAGACAATGGTGCCACTGTCTGCCAGTTGAATGCTCTTTGTAACATGAGCACAGAGTGCTTGCACTGGAACTGCAGGGACAGGAGGAAGGCCAGATGCAGTGACAGAGGCACAGGTTTCTGGGCTGTGAGGCCGCAAAGATCCTCTCTTCAAGGATTTCCCACAGTGTGATCAGCCGTGACTGTCACTCTGGTCTTGTGTCCAATACAGTGACCCTCAAATCCTGGGACACCTCAGTTCCACCAGACCTTGTAAGGATGCCACAGCCACGAGTTCCTGCATGTTTGACAAGAAAGCAAAGCGTGCTGCTGCCCCCATGTGTTACTTGCTCATTACTGTTGCCATGCACCAGACGTGGGAACCCTACCTGGGAGAATGAAACTAGCCAAGCTAAGCACAGCACAGCCATTTCAGGTACTGAGGTCAAAGATCTTGAACTGGAAGACCTTTCTGTTTCCTCTGTTCTTCACATTTAAGAAATTACAAAGTTGGATTGGACATGTTTGGAAGTTAGATGAGCTGGAGAAAGCAAGGAGCATGCCATGTGCAGAAAAGCACACAGAAGTCATCGTCCATTCTGAAAGGATGCATCTGCAGTGCTCAAGACTGCCATGCAATGCTGAGCAATATCAGATATCAGCACAGGGTGTTCAGGCTTGTTGGCTCAGGCTGTGAGGAGTGCAGAATGAGAGACAGCTCTTGGCAAGCTCTGCTCACATGATAAGGTCATTGGAAAGGCAAGTGATGCTTTCATCAACCTGCCTTTCCCCAGTACCAGCACCAGCTTGAGTGAAGACTCACTTTGTGCTCCTGTAGTGTACTGCACACTGCATGATGCCAAGGACAAAAGCTTCCTCCCGTATGCACTGAAGCAGTGTTCTTCCAACCAGTGTCTCAGTCCCCAGCTTCCCACCCTTCTTGGCCACGTCATGTTCCTGTTTTGAACCATTCCATTTAGATTTAATTTAAATTCTCTCTGGGCTAGTGGCAGCTCTCAGGAGAAGGGAGAGCGGGCTGTGTGTAGCTACTGGCTGTCTGCTGCTTCCCAGCAGTTACCAGATAACTTCTGGACGTTCATTGCAGTTCTCACAGTTTTGTCCCTCCTTGCTGGGCAGTACTTTGCTGGGGCTGCACATGCTTGTTACCAGAGTTAACCAGTCCTAGAAGCTGCCTGAAACCTTGCCTTGTAGGTAAGCCAGCTCAAATGGAGCCAGTCTGTGGCTCAGGACATCGTGCAGACCGATGGCTCCGACCATCACTAACGTAGTTTCATGGAAAAGTGGTGCTGCCTATTTGCCATACCTACACAAGAGCCTTTTTGTCCCTGGCACCATTAGCAGATGGGCCAAGAAGTTGTGCCTCAGTGGAATGTTGTCCACAGAGTGCCCTAGACTCTAAGAGCTCTCTGAGAATATATGAAGGAACAATATATGCTGGCAGGGCTTGCATGCTCCAGCAGTTGGGGATTGCAAACACATGCTTCAGCTATGCAAGAAATCTCTGACTTGTTCTGAATGCGATTCAGCCTGGGTTTCTTCCCAGGAACATTCCTGTTCTTCACAATTTACCAGTTGCAGGAAGGGGGGTGGAGGAGCAGGATTTTACTAGTACTCAGGACTTTAAGAGTAAAGGAGAGGAAAGGGAACAAATCTTACGGTGTGTTCCCTAGCCAAATTCCTCTAGAAGGACAGGGTGTGCAGTATGGGTTCCAGGATTTGGCATAATCTCAAGAAAATACGAACTTCAAAATTAAAACCACTTTTAATTTGTCATTTGTTTTTATATAAAGAGTAAGTATCTGTTTTTTCTTAAGTAATTCAGTCTCTGCTATCACATAGACCAGGCAGCCAGAGCCAAATGGTGCTGCTTGCTGGAAGCCAAGCACAGAACTAGGTCTCTGAACAAGGACACGTTATCTCCTCCAGGAGACGGCAGTGCTGTTTAGATCTGCGTTGTGGTTCCCAAGATGAAAGTCTCAATCCTGAGTCACAGCATAGTCGCAAACTTAGTTGTCATAGGTGGGACTAATCTGATGAGCTGGAGATGAGTGATGAATGCTTATTGTAATGCCTGCTGTGTTACAAGGAGGAAAAAAAAACTTGCAAGGATGGACATGAGAGCTGTGCTTCTTGCCTGGAAGAAGTCAGAGGTACGGTGTGCCCACAGCTTCACATGCTACTCAGAGGGTTGACAAAATCTGCTTATCCTTGCAGGCAATAGCAAGCTTCTCTCTGGGCAGGACTACAAGCCACTGTGTCCACTGTGTGTGCCCCATGCTGCAGGGCTGGGTGTCACCTTGCAAGTGGGTGTACCCTTATGTAAGGAAGATGTTGGTCTTGTCTGGGTCTGGTTGCCCCTCAGTTGGGAATTCCCCTACGGGCAAGGTGTGAAGCTTTTTGTAAGCCAGGTCTTGTGGCTGCTACTACACAACAGCGTGAACACAGGTTTTGTGTTTCTTTCCAGATGTGATCCCTAAACCATCACTTTGTTCCTTGTTTTCGACACAAGACCCCTCGCGGGCTGTCGGTGGCAGGAGTGCTCGTGTGTGGAACTGCCTGTGGCTGAGTTCGGAACCTGCTGAGCTGGACATGCTCTGCAAACTGGAGAGATCATTCTAAGAGGTGAGGTGGAGCCCAATGCTACCAAACATGCACTTCGAGTAACCTCCATAGCTCAGTTAACTGTATTAAGTATATGCCTGATATTAACTTAATTTAACTGAAGTTTTCTTTCCTAAGTGGTGTGCATGGTGTATCTGTCTCTTAAACATGTTGCTGTATGTAATTCAATCAAATGTGTACACAGTACTCATGTAAGCTCAGTCACTCCAGACATGGGAGAGTATTATTTTGTTCTATTTGGCTCATACTTCTACATTTAAAATGGAGGGTAACTTTACTGAAATGCAATTCAGTGATACCAGAAGTATCGGTAGATTTCTGTTGCCTCACAGTGCTCTTCTGGAGTCTTTCCCATTTTATGCTCGACTGAACGGAAGTAACTGGTTGAAATTAAGAAGCAGATGCTAAAGAAGTATTTCTTTAACTTGCACTGTATCAGGGCTATAGTTCAGTATTTGTGAGGGTTCCCACCTCCTCTTTTATTGATTACTCTTCATTCTACATTTTTCTTTCATACGGCAGAGGAAATGGGTGAATGATTTCCCTCTGACTCGCTTTTATTAATCCCAAATCATGGCTCACAGTTATGGTGATTTATGAATTGCAGCTTTCACCATTGTGAATTCAGGGCAGTTGGAAACCACCGAGTGCCAACCTGAACAGCTGCAGCCCAGCAGCCAGTGCTGGTGAGCCACTGTGCTGGGATGTGTGAAACGGCCCTCGGATGGCTGCTTTAATGCAGCGTTCAGAGCTGCTTTCAGGTTGTGCGCTCAGCCCCCGGCTTCCCAGCTGAAGGTAGCGGACTGTCGCTGAGCGGTCTGAAATGCAAATAATAGATTTTATTGCGATTAAGTAAGTTTTTAGTAGGCTGCTTAGAGGGAAACACGATACAAGGAATGTGAGCGAAATGAGAATGCTCCTGAAGTCAGCCTGCATAGATGGGGACAAAGCAGAAGGGGTGAAGAGAACAGCAGTTCTGGATTTGGGCAAGATCTTAAAGCAATCACAGGAGAGGGGAGGAGGGAGCCTTGTTCCCGTTCGTGCTCTTTTTGGAAAGCCTGAACCGAGATCTTCGTTGAAGTTTTTTTTTTTCTTTATCGGGATGTGATTAAGTCTGGCTTTTCCTGGGAAGGAGCTCATGTCGGTGTGCAGGCGCCACGTGGGAGCTGCCGGCTCCGCGCGCCCAACCCGCGCGGCGCAACCACGGCGCTCCCGCGGCGCGGGCCCTTTAAGAGGCGCCTCACCTGGCGCGTTCCAGCGCCGACCTCTCAACCAACCTCTGTGCGCTGCCCTTCCCAGCTTCCCATTGGTCAAGTGGCTTTGAGGTCCCGCCTTTCCGCGCGGCCAGCCAATGGAAGACGGAGTCGGGGAGAGACGGAGTTAGGTTGGTGCGCGCGGCCGATGGCCGGCGGGGAGCGCGGGGCCGGGAGACGGGGCGGCGGCGTGGGCCGTCGGGATCGGGGCCGCGGGTCAGGCACCGAGAGCGGCGGGCCGTGACGGCGGAGCTCCGGTCGGGCCGAGGCCCCTCCGAGCCGCTCCGCCCGCCCCGGCCGGGCCCGTTCCCCGGGAGGAGGCGGCAGGCCGCGCCGGGCGGACCGAGGGGCCGCGCGGAGCCGCGCGAGGATGCGGGCAGCGCCGCTCCGACCGCGAGCGCGGCCATAGCGCAGGGCTGAGCGCTGACGGAGGGGCGGCGGGCGGCTGCGGCCTCGTGGGGCGAAGCGCTCGGGCCGTTTCTTGTCGGCGTTCCGCAGGTCGCAGGTACGCGTGGCCGGGGCTCGGAATGCGTGCGGTTTGCGCGTCTCCGTAACGCCGAACGGTTCTGCGGGGAACTGAGGGCTCCTCAGGTAGCGCCGCTCAGTCCTTAGCGTGTGCGGCTGGGGCTGGACGCGGTGCTCTCGGCCCCGTTGTTGTGAGGGATCGTTGCCGTAGTAAAGATTCCTGCCTTAAGTGAAGGGGTGGCTTTCTCGTATTTATTGTTAGGAAACGTTAGAATTTGTGACGTGGAGCGAAGCGTTGTCCCGTGGCAGACCTTAAAAAGAGATGGCATCATGAAAAATTGTGACGTCTGTTTTGTTCCAGGTGCTGCTATAGAAGATGAGGCTGAACGAGAGCCGGACCAGACCCTTCCAGGCTCCTGTTTCCATCCACAGCTACCCGGGAGGGCAAGTGTACGTGTTCCCAAATGGCCGCTCTGACTCGGAGGAGTCGTCAGACGAGGAGCTCAACGTCATGGAGCTGCGGCCCAGGGGCAGGGAGCGGCAGTGCAGCAATGCACGGGGCAGAGCTGGGGATGTAGTGCTTCTGGAGAGAGACATCACTGAGGACGACAGTCTGAACAAGCTTGCCCTGCAGTATGGTTGCAAAGTAAGAGATATCTCTGTTTGCTTTTGTTTTCTTTACTTTTAGCGATGCGTTGTGCATGCAGAGTACTTCCCAGAATTGTGTGTAGGCTCCTTGCTGTCTGACAGCGTTTACCCTGTGTATTTCATGAATGATCAACAGCTGGGAGAAAGTGAGCTGGAGAAAGGTTAAAAAAAAGAGCTGTTGAGCTAGCTAACAGCCATGGAAGATGTCATCCCATGTGGCCTGGCTTACTGGTTAGTTTGGGTGACATCAGCAAAGTCATGATTTGTATTTATTTATTCGAGGGCATAAAGTTGAAGCTGAGCACAGAAGTGAGGGAGAGAGCACCGCCCTCTCCGGGGTTACAGGTTTGAAATGAATTGAACAGCGTTAAGAAATGCTGCTTTGGTGGGGCCTGGGCTACATTTCCCTTTTCGTTTCTTTTTTTTTGAAAGGGATGAGCTTTCATATTGCTGAGAAATGCTGGGTCTGAGATGGACCTACAATAGGAGAGGTGCCACTATGGGTCACAGAGCTGCTGTGCGGGGTCTTCGATGGCTCCTGCAGTACACAGAGGTGCATGTGGCTCAGCCAGCTGCAGGCAGAGAACAGCACACGCACAAAGACTGTCTCTGGAGTTGGAACATACTGAAAAACACGCACTCTGAGTTTGGTGTGGGGGAAAAATGGTGACAGTTTCAATGACCTGATGTGAATATTAAGAATACCCCATTGCTTAGCAGTTACAGCTTTATTTTTCGAGTCTTCTTTACCTACAAGCTCCTTTATCTACAAGCTAGGCTGTGATTAAGAAGTTGCATAATGCAAGCATTTGGACGATGGCCTGGTTGGTGATAATGACATGGTACTGCTGAACTGTTGCAATATTATTGCACTGTCTTGCTTAATAGCACAGCTGTAAGGTACAGCTGAAGCAAGAGGGCTTAGAGAAGCTGAGACAATTCCTCCCCTCCCAATCCCTTAGAAACAAAAACAAAACAAAGGCCCTTCTGGGTTCTGCTGAAGCTGGTGCTTGTGAAGGAAAGATCCTGGTAGGGCTTAAAGAGGCTTTGATTGCGAGCAGTGGCGCTGATGATGTTGTAGCAGCCCTGTACTCTTCTTCAGCAGAGAACAGTCACAACTGTTGCCACTTGTGCCACATCGTAGCAGTTCACTGAACTTAAAAGATTACCAGCAACAGTTGGTTCTCTTAAGAGAAAACGTGAGTGTGGCTCCTGTGGTGTCAGCGAGGAGCACTCAGGCAGTCGGCACACTCCTCCCGCAGCAGAACGCCCTGCCTTCCCTCCCTTCAGAAAGCACACTTCTGATTTGTTCCCATTACATTGAAGAGAGATGGAAATCCTTGTGGCTGGGGATCTGTGTATTTATTTACAGGCTGACACTGTTCAGTATCAACGTAGTTTGTAGGATTTGCACAGTTAAGCAGCTCCTGAAAGACCACTGGGATGTCAGCAAAGATTTTTAGCTGCAAAAAATGTGGGCAGTGTAAAAATTCCAGGATGGGCTTTCCTTGAAATTTCCTTGAAATTCCAGAGAATTTGTTACTGGTTTGAGAGTCATCAGGGCCTGCTTGGGGTGGGAGAATTGAGACAGTGCAAGAAAGTTTTGTTTGTGCAACAGGTAACTTGGCAGAGATGCAGAGCACGACAAACTTCTCATTTTTACTCTTGACCACGTATAGTCTGGGCCTGCTTTTGGCATAGTTTTCAGCTGGGACAGGAGGAGCTCACTGCAGCCAAAAATGAGTACAAATAATAAGCCTAAATGGCTTGCTCATCCTAGTGCTGTACATTTTTCCCACCAGCTTTGTTGTTTTTGTGTGAGCGCTGCTCTACTTTCTGTTTCTAGAGCTTTAGCGCAGCGTTGCAGTTTGATTGCAGACACTGCAGGGGATGTTTACTGTCCCAGTAATCTGTTTTCATTGGAAGAAAACAGAAAATTGAGGCACGGCTTCAGTTAGGAGGCTTAGTGTCAGATTGTTATTTCATAACAAAGTAATTTTGGAGAGTTTAATTCCTGATGTTTTGCTGAGGCAAGCTGTGAGGAGTCTGATCCAGCAGCTGAGGATTCCCTTAGCTACAGGGGCAGCAGATTAGGATCTGCATTAAACACCCCATTTTCAGACGTGTCAGGCTGTGTAGAGTAAACACGACGTTTGGGCATCCATCTCCCCTCTCCTTTTCAGTGCAGTCCTGCAGCTCAGCTGTGACATAGCAGACCTGCCTGTTGAACCAGCTCTCCCTAACAACATGGGCTGAAGGGAGCAGAACTGTGCAGCTGTGCAGGCAGAGCCCTGCAGGGCAGGGAGCCCTTCCCCCCTGGCTGAGGTGGTCCCAGGCAGCCATTCTGCAGCCACCAAGGAGAGGGTCGTGTTCCTGCAGCAGCTCTTTGGGAACTGCCATAGGGCTGCCTTCTGCTTACCTGTGTGTTGTCTTTTATAAGGGCAGATCTTTGCTGTGAGCTGCCAAGTGATGTTGGAGCTGACGACACTCATTGCAGGAAGAAAAGCACTTTCTTGGTTTTAATCCTCCTCATGGTTTTACTGGTTTCATTGGTAGCCTGACATTTGTGAGTGTGCAGCGAATGACCATCGTGCAGTAATTTGCTAAACTTCTACAAGAGCAAATCAGACTTTCTGTGTGTGGTATGTCGGAGGTGTTGGGTCTCTGAGTCAGGTCCTGCTGTTCCCTCTGCTTTGCCTCCTTCAGCCTTTCCTTCAAGATTCTTTCATGTCTGCTTGGCTGCCTTGGTTTGCTGCTTGCAGTGGGGCCTGGTTGTTATCTGACAGAGGTTGTAGGGGGTTATCTGTGTACACTGTATTAAGCTGCCTTCTCTTTACTTAACATTAAATAAGGAAATGCTGCCTTCCTGCTGACTTTGCTTTTTGATACCAGCAGCCCTTGTTGACTTATGCTGTATGTATGGTGTGTACTTTCTTGCTGTTCTCATTGCTGTTTGCGTGACTGAGCTGGGTGCAAACACCAGGCACAGGTGTGGACCCCTGGCTGATGGTCTGTTAGCACACACCAACATCCAGAGCTGCTTACAGGTGGACATTATTGCTTTAAGTGTTTATCACCAGGGCCTTGTACCAGCTGTGAAGTGAGCTGCATGGAGCAGTTATGCAGGGGAGAAGCTCAGCAGTGTGAGAGGTGCCTGCTGCTCTCTCCCAGCCTGCAGTCTTGCTTGCAGAGCTGCTGTGTGCTCCAGAGATGCTGTTACTGCTTACCTCTTGCTCGCACTGCAGTTTTCCCGTCACCATCAGCACTTGTCTGCTGTTTAAGGTGTAACTGCTTTTACAAGGTTTGCTCTAAAGACTCCTCTTGCTATAACTTGGATTTAAAAAGGGAGAGAAAGGTAACGAAAGCAAAGAGAGGGGAAAAACTTGGTAAGAAATGCACAACTTACATAAGAGGTGCAAAAGCACTGTGGGGGCCCGTGTGGTGGGGGTCCATGCAATGGATGTAACAGGAGCATCTTAAAGCTGCAGGACCTGGAGCATGTCTGCAACCACTGGAAATCTCTGAAGAACAGTGAACTGCTTGCAGACAGAGCTTGTTTTTATTTTCAGGCTGGTTTTGTAGCCACTTCTTGCTTCAATGCTAGTGAAAGGTTGGGTCGTTTTGAACTAATACGCAATGTCCTTTTTGGATCTTGCAGGTTGCAGACATCAAACGCGTCAACAACTTTATCAGGGAGCAGGACCTGTACGCTTTGAAGTCCATCAAGATCCCTGTGAAGACCCACGGGCTGCTGACAGAGAGCAGCAAGGAGCTGAGGCCGCTCCCGGCTGCGCGCTCGCAGAGCGGCGCGGTGCTGGTGGACGTGCCGGAGCCTGGCGCTGGCGGCAGCGGCTGTGCTGAGAGCGAGCAGCTCGTGGATTATTTCAAAGGCATCGACAAGAGCATCCAGGACGCCGTGCAGGCGGAGGCGCAGCTGAGTGCTGAGCTCTGCGTGGAGCCACCAGAGAGGCCGCTGGCCGAGCCGGGGAAGCGGGAGAGCAGTAATGGTGCGGACTGTGGAATCCAGTGGTGGAATGCAGTTTTTATTATGCTCTTGGTAGGAATTGTCTTGCCGGTATTTTATATCATCTATTTTAAAACACAAGAGAATGGCCCGGCGCCCCACACCTCCAACACAACAGCAACCTCAAATATTTCGACAGATGGATTGGAAGGGAAATTACTACAAGGCTCAGTTGTAGAAAAAAATGCTAGGGGGGAGACACAGCCAAATACAGCCTCACCTCCCAGCACGGGCGCCCATAAGACGGTGACTCTGACTCGAGTGCAATCGGGGGGATAACACTACAGATACTATTTTTTTTTAAAGTAGTCAATGTAGTTCTGAGCTTGACTGAACTGGAGATGCGATTTTATAGAAGAATAAGGATGCTCTGTTGCTTGTGAAGACCAGCAGGCAACTGGCTTAACATTTGTGAACTCTGATGAGGGAAAGTATTTTGAAGCAGTTTGCTCTTCTTGCTTGCTTCAGGTATTTCTTAAGAGTGGTTTTGTCTAAGAAGCTGAACCCTTTACTTCTGTGACAGAGTGCAGTATTGGTGTGATTGGAAAGCTGGGGGCTGTTTGGTTTTTTTTTTTAAGAAAATACGTTTTGCTTGGAGTAGAGGTGAGGACTCATCTTTTTCAATGAACTGTCATTTTTCTGTCTTGCAGAGCGTGGCAGCCTTGGCAGGCCTAACCCAAAGAGCAGTGGCTTTTAATTGGTTGGCTGGGGTGTGGCACAGCACAGGGACACCAGCAGCACCTCACCACTACATCTTGTGCACGATGGTTAAGCAGTGGGTGGTTTGAATCCTGCAGTGGGGTGGGCGAGGCCAGAGCTTTTGTCCTGGTGGAAGTCCTTCAGAGGCTTCCTGCCAATGTCCGTGCAGGCAGAGCTCATTGAGAGCTCTTGTTCTGTCAGGGTTTTGTCAGTGCTGCAGCGGGCTGGCAGCAGACATCCACAATATTGGCAGGAGATGGCGAGAACAGAGTAAGGCTTGTGGGATGCTGTGCTCTTCTCAAGGGTTTATTTGGTGTGGGGAAGTCTAGCTGTTACCTGCTTTTGGTTTAAATCCACAGTGGTGCATCTCAAATGTCACATCACAGTCGAGGACTTGAGTTTCCTTGTTTGTACGCTTCAAATGAGAGTGCTGCTGAGTTCACCTACAAAGACCCGCAAAGAAGCCCAACGTTGTGTCAGGTAGTCACAGAAATGTGAATCAGATGCTTTCTAGATGGGGACTGGGAAGCTGCTGTATGCTGAACAGTCCTGTCCACTCTGAGTAAATAGGGGGGGGTGAATGGAGGTTTGTGTGGCTGAGCTGTACTGTAAGCCTGATATGTGTGCTGTGTCAGTGCACGCTACATGCTGGAAGTGAGGAGCAGTGAGGCTTTGGGAGAGAGTTTTGCTGCAGAGAATTGTCCTCAGAACTTTTTATTCAACAAATTCAGGGACTGCAGACAGAGGTAAGCTCTCCTAGAGCTAAATGCTGAGGTACTGCTGTGGCACAGTTGCATGAAATCCCCAGGGAGGGGATCCAGGCTGTAACTCAGCAGCAGCCAGCTGGTTGTGTCATGGGGAGCCTTGGGGCTGTTTGCACAGAGCTGAGCTCCTGCAGGGGAGGCAGAGCTGGTGAGCAGGCACACAGCGTGGCAGTTTGTCTTTGCCCCGCACTGCAGCCTTCCCACCGTTTACTGTGTTCCCAGCAAGCTCGAGAAGATGCCTGCAGAAAACAGAGTCCATTTGTGGCAAGCTGCGGAGTCAGACCTGAGCTGCTTGCCTGCTGCAGGCCTTGCAGCAGAGGGCACTGCTGCCTGGGAGCTGTGGAGGGTCAGTCACAGCAAGGGCAGCATTTTTAGGGACCCTGGCTGCGTTGTTGGGCTCTGATGCTGAACCTAATGTCTGTGCATGAACCACGTGCAAGTTGGTTTGGGTTTGTTGGTGGTTTTTCGTGCTGTTTTTTTTTGTTTGTTTTCAAAGCCTTTCTTTTGCTGCCTAAAACTGATCAGAAGTGAAGACGCTGGGTGATGGGAGCAGCCTTGTGGCACCTTCTGCATAGCACAAAAGGTGTGGGGGGAAAAGAGCATTACGCGAAGCAGAGCCCTGTGGTTACACCTGTGGTGTCACACCTGCACTGTGGGGCTCCTGCAGCCTTAGAAAGGGCTTAGGAAAGCCTGGGCAAACCTAAGTTGTGAATGAGGGACCTAGAGTGTCTTGTAATGGGGAAAAAAAGGCTCGTATTTTCTTCTGTGAAGGAAAGGTATCCCTTGTGGTTGGGAAGAGGGGAATCGCTACATTTCTAAATCAAGTGAAATGAAATAAAAGCACAAGGGGCACTTACCCACCCCAGACTGCGTGTTGGGTGTTTTTCAGTTTGTTGTCTGTGTGGTGGACAAGCTTTGTTTAGGAAGATGTGTTTTGCAGCAGTAGTGCAGAGCGCTACAAAATGCAAGCATTCCCAACATGTGGTGCTGTCACGTTTGTTTTGTGCCACAGCATTTGTTTTGCAGAGGCCGGGCAGCAGCTCTGTGACTTGGGCTGCTCACAGCATGCAGAGCAGAGCGGGGGGTGATGCTGCTGAGGGGCCGTGGGACACGGAGCACAGCAGTGCTGCAGCAGGGAGCGCCAGCGGAGAGGGGCAGGAGGCCGTAAGTACGACCTTGCCTTCTGTTGTTCTGTTCTCTAAGTGTTTTATAACCTTAGAGCGCTTCCGTTAAGTCAGCTGTGGGTACAGCTTGGTAGTGGACCAACCTGATGAGGGTGTTGGGTACTGCGGGGGCAGGAGGGCACGAGTGGGCAGATGTGCTCTGCAAATACGACAGAGGCTGGAGTACACAGTAAAAGCCAGTATCTTTACTTTAGTGAATGCAGGATACAAATATTTTACAACAACCTCTAGCATTTTTCTTAACCATTTGATAAAAAGTTCACTAGAATATTTATTGTATATTGAAGAAAAAACAACACATTCAGGGAAAAAATTGAGATTAACTTATTTTTTTCTTAAAAGATTCGTCTCAAGGATGGCAACAAAGTCCAGCTTGTGCCGCCAAACGGCTTATCATCATTAAACCGTGAACAGCTTCTTTGTGAACTGTTGACTACAAACATTTACCAAATACATAAATCTCTTTTAAAAAAGCCATTTTAAATATAGCAAAGCAGTGTTCTCTTGCACAGCAAAGTGAAGAAAGTTTCTACTAAGATTTAAACGTTTACATTGAAGTCTTTCTTTCACATTCTAATTTAACTTCTTCCCGTGATGGATTGTTAGGAGTTGTTATGTTCCTTATTTACTATGTATTTCTTGTGCGCACAGCAATTCGCAAGGTTGGGATGCTTTAGTGTCCTTGGAGTGAAAGGAAAGGCTGAAGCGTTGTTCTGACAAATCCCTGACGGGGATTTTCAAATACATGTGAATTTAAATACTACAGTGAGAGCTCAGAGATGGAGAGGTGATTTGTCACAACAGAAGATCAGATAGAAATCTGAAGTCACTCAGGCTTCAATGGGTTCAAACTAGGATTGGATTCACTTAAAACTTCAATATATTTACTTAGTTAAAAAAAGTATTTTTCACCTGTTGAAATATCTGTGCTATGTCTTTTTCTCATTATAAAACATCTTTACAATTCCTAAAAAAGTATGTTCCAAAGTTAGTTACCTGTTATTAAAAACCAGGCTTCCCATTTATTCAGTGGCGTGAGGTTCTCCCGCTAGGAGAGAACGTGGCCAAAGTCTCCTGCTGAGTCTGTGGGAGGGGATGGGGCACAGGGCAACACCAGAACAGTCCCGTGAGCAGTTCCTAGGAACTTACGTGGTGGTTTTTTAATTCGTAGGTGCAATTTCAATACAAACTCTAACCCTTATGTAGCTTTTTCTTTAAGAAAACAGTAATAGCACTGTTTACAAACCTGCATAGAAATAAAGACTATTGAGATACAGTCAGCAAAGCCATCTCGTAAGGCACACAAGAAAATAGACAGTAAATGTGAATGCAGAACTCCCACTCAGATGTACAGCAAAGTTCATAGATGTGCATAAATAATGAAAAAACCACGTAACTTCTCCAAGCATCAAAAGGCTCTCCGCAGTGGTCAGTGAATTTGGTCACTTGGGAAATAAACGAGCTGCTGTGAGAAAAGTCTGCCTTTCCTGCAGGTTCCTGCACCTGGGAACTGCAGGACATCACAGCTCAGCCGTGACCCAGGCTGCAGGGGCTCAGGAGTGGCCGTGACAGCAGCAGAGCCTCAGGCACCAGCCTGGTTCTCCAGCCGCACGCCAAAGCGGGCAGCCATGAAGGCGCTGGAGCTGCCCCCACTGCATCACACGGGATTTTTGCTTCTCACACTCCTTAGCTAAAATATCAATTAATTTTTTGAAATCTGGCAAAATTATGTTATAAACAGCAGGGATTACTTACAGGGCTTTCAGTAACAAAATAGCACTGTTGTCTTTCTTTTTTTTCCCTCAGAACTACCAGCAGTGATTCATTAAGAATTCATTAAGGTCTACTTAATTTGGTTCCCGGCATAAAAGAACATGCAGGAAGGTGATCTGCATGGAGCCAGGGGTGGGAAGGAGGTGCCTCCGAGGCAGGAGCGCTCCTGGAGCAGTGCTGGTTCCCCTGCAGGTGGCTGCTCCCAGCTCCTGCAGTTTGCTGCTGCTCAGGTGCAGCCTTTCCCAGGAGCTGCTGCTGCCCTTCCTCCCCACAGCTCCATGCAGAGCAAGCCTTGGCCCTGCTCTGCCTCAGGGAAGCAGCAAAGAGGCTCTGCCTGTTTCCTTCTGAAGCCCCTTTATCCCAAACCACTCACCACTTCAGAAACCCTTTGTGCTCATCTGATATGTGTTATTTCCCTATCAGGAGAAATTAGGTCAAGCTTTTTCCACTGGTTTTTGTTTTTTTTCCTCCTCGGAAGAGGCAGTTTTGAAACGATGCCTTAAGATGTGTTGTAGCAGATTTTTTTATATTTATGCAGGATGAACTTAACGCCGGATTTTTTTTTTTTTGCCACTTTGCTATTTATATACATATATATAAAATGTATAATGAAGCTTAACCATACAGCACAGAGATTACAATTGAACGGCACACATTCACCACCAGTGAGGGGGACAAACCCCTTTATACACCCTCTGAAAAATCTGGATAATAATATTAATAATAATTAAAATCCAAAGAAAGTACAGTATATTTAACAAAATAGTAAATATTAAACAGTGAATACTCTACTTAATAAGGACCTCGCCTTTCTCAAGTCGGCGTCAATCCACAAAAATATACTTTTTAATCTGGTGAACGTACAATACATAGGTACTTACACCAAAGGTGATAATATATTTAAGATGCTATATACACAAAGAGTTTGGCTCAAATTTAAATTTACATATAAGTGTTCATGGCTTATTTTTCCCCCAAGGTTCCGCCTGCAAGTTTTTCCTTTTCATCTTTGAAAGCAAAAACTAGAAAGTCAAAATAAGATAAAACTATACTCTACAAAAAAGCTACAACATACAGCTTTGGCTTATATAAATAATTCATAGCAGAATGTGTTCAAAAGTACTGTATATAACTTTATATATAGTCTTCAATTCATTAGGGTATTGTTTTCTTTAATATAAAATATACATGAGCTAAAATCCGTTTCTATATTTTTCAAAGGTATGAACGTAAAAACAAATTTGTCAAACATATTCCAATTATAACTTAATATATTAATTTTATTTTGTTAATGTTCTATTTTCTAGGCTAATATTTTCGGAATATTTCATGCGAGTTCTCTATGTCTCTCTCTCACTTGTTAAAAAAATCACTTCTTTGACCCAATACACTTTTTTTTTTGCACGTGCAAAACAGGTTTTTGTTTTTTTATTTTCTCTAGCATCAGCCCTTCTCCATGCACCCTCTGCAATAGAGACCCATGCCAGGTGGGGTAATATAAAGGTCATTTTATGTACAGTATTGCTTTCTTCTTCCTGCTTTTCTACTGCTCTGCTGCTACAAAGCATTATTTCTTAACTACAAGTAACCATACAGCTTTAATAAAACACACAGGGACGTTACTACAGGCGAGCCCTCTTGGTTTCTGCAATCTAGTGTGGTAGGATTATAATACGGGTACAATGTTTCTTTGCAAAACAGGCTATATCATTAAAACAACAAGTCCAGGTAAGTGCCAGACTAGATCAATACCTACAGGATTGTTCTGTTACGTTTTACCATGGGACATCTGCAGCTATACAAGAAGTTTGTAATAAGTGCCTGATGATTCTGTGTATGCTACACACACTAGCACATATATATGCATGTGAAGATATATATATGCACGTATGTATATACATATAAATATACTTATTTCATGTCCTTATTCATAAATTTAGATATGTCAGGACAGTTCATTTTGAGAACACAAAACTGGAGAGGCAACACTGCGAGTTTATGTCACCCACGTGTCCATCCTCATTCGTTTTACTGACGGACTCTCTCTATCTTCTGAATTCGGCGGCCTTCCCAGCACCACGGGAGAGTGGAAGTCGCTGCGAGGGTCCTCGCGGTCGCTGCCATCGTAGGAGCTGCTGGAGCTGCTGAGGCTGTCGACAGGAGAGCGGCCCAACTCCTGGCGCTGCGGCGGCTGCTGCGGGGGCTGCGGGGGCTGCGGCTGCTGCGGGGGCTGCTGCTGCGGGAACCCCGAGGGAGTGACGCGGTCCCGGGGAGGTGAAATGGGCTCCGATTTGATGTTGATGTTTTGGTTGGTGTTAATGGATAAATTTGAACCCTGAGATATCTGGCTGCCAGTACTGGGAAAAAGAAAACCGAAAGGAGGAAATAAGAAAACATGAGAATGGGAAGGAAAGCGACAGTTCATGCACCTGCCGTGTGGTTCGGCATCCTTGAAGTAAGCATGTAAATAAATGCCACTTCCTGACGTGAAAGAAAGCAGCGATTAAAGATCCCAAGTACTTCTATAGACGTTAAAACACAAAGGGCAATAGGTAGCCATTCCAAACACCGAGTTAATCGTGTTGGTGACTTCAGCAAGGAGGCGGGCCTGCAGGGATACGGCACGTCAGCTTCAGGACTGAGCGAAGGGCCACAAAGGATACATACAGAACAACATGGGCACAGAACTGCTGCCAGCGGGCCAACTGGAAAAGCAATGTATGCATTGGGGGCAGAAAAGAAAGCAAAATGTTTTGTGTTATATATTTCCCAGTGCAGATCATTCACCTTGAAGTGCCCCGCCATGCAGCACTGCGCTATTACAAATCTACTTACACGAGAGAGCTGAGGGTTGCTGGACCAAGATGGTGCTGCTGCCAGGCAGATACCTGCCCTAAAGACAGCATTCCTGGGGAGTTAAATCCCTGCAAGGCAGACAGGTCTGCGCTAGTCAAGGAGTAATCTGAGGGAAGAACAGATAAAAAAGTGTATTAACTGATTTATTTATATGTACTTACATATACATACACACATATAAATACAGACAGACAAAGGCTTTCCACCCAGAACAGCTGAAGGCAGGTGGCCCAAAGGAGCCCACAGGTGAACACTTTGATACCTGGAGGAAGTCCTCCCAACTTCAGCAGCACCACAGCAGGACACACAGCACCAGCCACACTCTGCAATTCCTGCCTACGTGCCACTGCCTTACACAGCTGCTTCTAACCTCACGGGTGCAGCCTTCATGCACACACACACACACACACACACACATTTTACAAGTATTTGTTTCTGAAGATTTTAGTCTGCAAGGAAATCTCAAAATGAAACAAAAAAGGAAGCATTAAGACAAGTCATAGAAAGGAATGGTGTTTCTTGCTCTGAACTTACTGAACAAAACCTGACTGGTTCAGCTCCAGATCAAACCTGTACTTCAGATGGGAGGCAGCAATTCCCCAGACACAGTGTGCACCTCCTGGCTGCTGCCTGTGCTACAAAGCATCCTACAGCCCTACAGCCCATCCTCACACCAAGCAGGGAGCAATGCTCATTGCTGCTGGCCCAGCTGCTGAACAGCGAGGGCAGGGACTGGCACAGGGACTCACACCTCTGTGTGTGTGAGCACCCACAGGGTGCTGGGAGCAAAGGCACTGCAGCTGTGTGTGGATGCAGCCCTACCTTAACACACCGCATTCTCCCTCTTCCCACAACAGTGATTCATTATTTTACATCTGAATAAATGGGCATCTCTGTACCAAATGAACTAATTCACAAAAGAAATGCATTACTTAGAAATGTAACTTACTTAAATGAGTAATAGGAAAATCAACATGTTCCTGATCACCAGTCAGTGTCAGGCTGTTAGCTCTGCCCAGGCTGTAATGCTCAGACAGTTCTCACTTCTCATTTGCACACGAGGAGTTATTTTCATTTTATCATCACCACCCTCTGCTTTTCTTTCAGGTTCGAAAACAAAGCTGCAAATACTTGTCTGCTTTTAATTACCTTGTAACATCGCTTCCTTAAAATAATTTCTGGCATTTAGAGGGTAAGACAAAATGCTGGCAGTCAAACTTACCGCAGGGTAACTAGAAATTCCACTCACTCAAGTATTATTGTCTGATTGCTGTCCTGGCATTGTCCTAAAATGCCAAAACCATTCCAGTTTATCTCTCTCAGTCTCCCCCTGCCCATACACCAACTCGTTCTGTGTGCAACATGTCAGGGTTTTCCTCTCATTGCCCTATAGAGGGAGGCAAATGCAGTGCCAGCAGCCACGCTGCTCAGAGATTCATGGGCAGAGATGCATGAGGACACTGACAATCCTGGCTGCAGCCCAGCAAACTATGCTACCTACGCTGCCTTTCTGTTTCTTCTGAGCTGGCATTTGTACCCAGCAGCTATCTGAGATTTACAAGACAAAAAAAATCCAGCCCTCCAGTGATGAAGACATGGACTCAACCCACAGAGCGACCGCAGCCATAACAATCAGCAACGTGGATGTAGGCGCGTTGGCAATAAAAACAGGCAACTATTTTGGTTCAAAATCAAATTTCTTATTTAAGACCCCTGAAAGGCTCTGTCTAATAGATACAATTTCGAAGTACCTGAGAAACACCAAAGGCTAAAGAGCCTTTCACAAAACACAGCATTACCCAAAGGCGGGGGGCTGGTTTTTAGAATAGTTTCCTAGCAGCAACAGCACCTGGCTGCAGTGTGGGACACCATGTTCACTGTGTGCTGCTCCCAAGCACTCGGTGCACAGCACTGCTCCACTTCCCAGCAGCTGCTGCCACACGGCACTGCCTTCAACCACTGCACAGCACAGAGGGAACAGCACGACTGCTCAGGGGCAGGAAAACAGCAGCAGTGCTCTGAGCAGGCACAGGAACTGCTGGCTTACTGCACACAGCGATTAAACAAAACGTATGGACAGTCATCGTAGCAGGAATCACAGCCAGGTCTACACGTCCAGTACATTCATGCTGCAGTTTCTAATCTTAAACAAGAAACTAACAACAATTCTTCACTCCGAGCACTGTTACTGTAGCCCCATCCTGTTCATTGGCCTCTCCAGCCCTTACCCCTCAGGGCAGCAACCACCTGCACAGGTTCCTCCTGCACTCAGCTGCTCCTGCAGCAGAAACCTTTGACCCTTTCTGCAGCAGAAACCACTGCTGACTGAACAGTCCCTGTTCAAACCAAACCCCTGCACGCAGTGGATGCAGGGCAGTGCCTCGAAGGCAAACCAACGCAGAAAGAGTACTAATAGCAGCTAATGGGCACAGTGATAGTGCTGTAGGGAAGGGGACATGAGACCAAAACAGATTCCAGTTGTTGAGCTGACAGATGGCTACAGGTAGGAACTAACAAAACATCCTGAAGTCCTTTAAAACTTAAAAAAAAAGATATAAAAAAACAGCCAATGTATAAAATCCAGCCTTTTTGTCAGGAAAATGATTATGAAGGGATGGCACTCGTTCTGTTCCCTCTTTCAGAACAGACTCCTGACAGTGCCCATCCCTGCAGAACACAAACACAAAAAGCCTTTGTTTAACTCGAGTTCTGGCTACTTTCTACATACACGAAATAAAGTTTCTTTGGATTTGCCCTGACCTTTGCACAAGGCCGTGCTTTGTTTCCTGCTCTGCCCTCTTGGGCTTTTTTGCCCAGCAGAGCCTTCTGACGGGAGGAAAAGAGAAGAAGAAAAGACAAAAAGGAAGAGCTCAGGTACCAGCTGCTCAGCCTGAGCTTTCGCTGCCCACAGGACATGAGACAGCCCTGCACAACTGCACGTGTGCCCTCTCAAAAAGAATACTGCCATGTTTAAAAAAAGTCTTCATTTCTAACACACCCTACACTGCCTTTTCTGTTCTTTGGTTTCAGAGCTCAGCAAGCATTACAGACTGCCTCAAATCTCAGTCCACAAGGAATGCTGCACACCACCAGAAGTTTTCTTGCATAAAACAATGTCACCAAAGAAATACATCTACAGACTTATTCACAGAGTATTTACTATGACTGGATTTAATTCTGCTTGGAGTATATACGTAATAACTGAAAGCCTACCTAGTAAGACTTCAATGCTACAATTGCTGACACTATGCTCCCCAGGTCAGAAATTCCTGTTGTAACAGATATTATAGCATTTACATTTGAATGTCCTAGCTAGATTACACCTAAAAAGAACAGCACATTGGGCAGCTATTTCCTTTGCTTTCCCACTTGCTTTTAAGCAGCAGCTAACTTAACTCAGACCTAAACTCTTACACTTATCTGCAATGCAGTGTCTCTGTAAGTGCATTTGGAAATCGAACTATGCATCACAGACCAGCCCAAGTCCATCAGGTGTGGCCTATCAAGGAAATGATTATCAAAAACTCCCTTTCCTGTTGCATACAGGCTCTGTGACAAGTACAGAACCTCAAGAGCAGGCTGAGTTAACTCTGCTGATGTGGAGACAAAGCAGGAGGCACCACAGTCTGAGCTACGTTCCGAATGGACAAACCAACTGTCACGTTATCAAATTATCTGAATCACACTTTGGATAAAAAAGGAGTTTTGAAGTCCTTCAGACACTCCCAGTGATGAAATGCTGACTGTGCCCACCACCAACTCCCTGCCTCGCTCTGGAGAACGCAGCCAAAGAGGAAGGGGCTGCTTCTTGAGAACTGGAAGTCCTCTCTGAATCCAGCTCCCTTGTGCCACAGGAATTCAGCAGAGAGCACGGCTCAGCACGCCCTGAAGTAGCAGCACTGTGTCAGTGTGAGGTTGTCACCTCACAGATGGACATCAAGAACACCACAGCAATAAGGAAATGCATTCATTGTGTCTCTGCCTGCATTCAGCTGTGCACAACTTGACTGAAAGCTTCTTCCGTCTGTAAGTCCCAACATTGACACATTCTACATTCAGAAGGCTCATTTCTGGATGAATAAAAGCCTTCATTTCAACTGAGCAGCAAAATAAAGCCAAGTGTCACAGGAATGCAAATTTTCTGGGCTTATGAATCACAAAACCTGGTGCATGTGAGGAATCAAGGCACGCACAATGCTTACCAGTGTTGTAGGCAGTGGGCATGGCCGAGTACACGAGTCCCTGCGGCGGCAAGCTGGGAGTTGTCACTGACACCACGGGGGTGGCGAGGGGCTGCGTGGACTGAGAACTACTTATCCTTTGGGTATTCTATAAACGATGAAAAATAACAGCATGCCTTGTGATATCAGTCAGAGCAACAGAAACTTACGTGCTAATAGAAAAACAGCGCTCACATAAAATGTGTCACTTTGCTTTGTGTTTTAATTAGCAATGCTTAGCTTTCGTCAGGATGGATTTTATAAACGAACCTCAACATTTCAAGACTCAACCAGAAACGATCTCAGCAAACAGAAATGAAAAAGGTAAGACTCACTGGTCCCCTCCTGAGCATGCACATCTCAACAGTGTTCATTTCAGCTGAAGGACAAGAACCAATGCACTTTCTTAGGGATACATACAATTCTCAGAAGTTCTTAAGTGACTGAAGGGGCTCATGCCTTATTTTTGAAGAGGATCTAACGCAGATGGCAAGGTGCAGTTCCAGAGGGGACGGTTTCCAGCTGTTAATCTGACCCACATCTCAGCTGCCAGCTCTGACCCTGTGCTAACTACACCTGCCCTGACAGCAACACGGCGATGGCATACGTTTCTGTTGGTAAGACCTTGGCCAGGAAACAATCTGCTGTTCCCATGGTTGCTGAGAAAGCGGTGAAGCACTTGTTATAGTGCAGATACGTTTCAAAGCAAATGACATTTGAGTTAATGCAGAACAACTGTGCCTTCTGACAGGAAAAACAGCTGAATTCCATAGTCTCACATTATCTGTTCTCGCTGTAGGCGTGAGCAGTCTTTCTTTGCCATATACTGGAGTGAACATCTGTAGCAAACATATCACTCACATTAAGCTCTTCAACAAAATTTGCTGTTTAGAAAACCTTACGTTAAATATTGCGCTGAATGCCAGCAGACAGCAAAGTGCTCTGTCACAGACACACAGCTCTCCATGGATGCAATGCTGTGGGGTTTCTTTTTAAGCAAGAGATGCTTCATTTTACTGATAGAGCTCCTAACTTCCCTCTCCTTGCACTTTGTATTTCTACATTCTCAAAGAACATTCCCCATTAAGGGAGCTGGAGTTCACACATTTTTAAGGCCATCGCCTAGAGCCCTGTATCTCCCATATTCCTGAAAAAATGTATCTGCTACAGAAATGGTGGGATTTTTGTCTCTGGTAGAGTTTCACTTCCTAGCTTTAGAAAAGTACGCTGCAGCTAGAAATTAAAATCAGTGTAGCACAGCCTTCCAGTGGCTGCCATGCCATACCTGGCCCCTAACCCTAACCCTCCAGCACTGCAGGAGGGCCCCGAGCCCCACAGCCTCTGGGATCTGTTCCACTTCCCAGGTTCCAAAGCCCTAAAACCACAAAGTGAGTCCCACTGATTTTCTGTACAATTTATCCTTCTAAATCACTTAGGGACTTCTGAAAACCTCCACTAGACCGAGTTTATCTGGCCCTAAGATATGTTATTAGAGCAGATTTTTGTCTGTCAGGAATTGACCTTTTTACAAAGCTTTCTTGGATGGCAGCCTATAAAGTTGGGATTACTGCATAATGGAAAAGTTAGAGGAGTACACTGGGAAGCAATCCAGGCCAAAGGATTTCCCCATGGGACTTTTTTGCTTTTCTGAGTGGATAATAAAGGTGGTTTTCAGAGGCGGTTTATTTCTGAGTTACTCTGCCACACAAAGGCACTGAGATGTATCTGGATGTATCCAGCACTCGTTGCTCTTGCAGAGTCAGCCCGTTCCTTAAGCTGTGCACAGGACAGGGGACAGGCAGAGCTGGATGCTTCACACTGCCATTTCTGCGCTCCACCTTCCGTGTTCGGCTCCAAGCAGACCGAATATGCGCTCACAGCTGCGATGTGGAGCTGCTGTCTGGCACTACGTCAGCATCAGAAAGGAGCACAGCAGGAGCGATTCCCTTACAGGTGCTCTACGTACTACCAAGAGCTTGCAAGGAAGGCGCTGCTGTTTCTCTGTGCCCCCAGCAGCCCGTGGCACAGCCGCTAGAGGGCCCGCTCTCCATGCAGCATCCGCACACCAGCCCTCCTCAGAGCGCATCGTTTCACATCGCAAGGGGTGCAGCAATTCTAGCAGGAGAATGCCTTAATTCAATTGCCTTTGCACAAATCTGATTTCTGACATTTATGCAATGCTATTTTGATTAAGAGTTCCTATGTTGAATTAAAGCTCTCTCTCTTGCGTTGGAAACAGACACTCCTTACGAAGGTGAGAAGATGGAGGGAAACTGCTCTGCTAACAAGGCAGCCCAATGGTACTTATCCACTATCACACTGGATTTCAAAAACACATTTCCCCTTACTTTTCTATATCTATTGCTTATGTGTAAGGAAAAAAACAACCAAAAGCATGCATGTATTAAGAAACGTATCTACGTCACTACATTTTCCATGCTTTCATGCAATTAGAGCCTCCTGTTAGCAACAGGTCCATGTTGGAAACCAGATCAAGTCGTACACTACGCAGAGCTTTAGGGCTGCACTGCGATGCAGCACCTCCTGCACGCTTTGTGCTACGGCAGCTGAACAATTTGCAAATTGCTCTAAAAATAAGTTACAAATTATTGCAGCCTTACGTTATTTTCCAGACAGAATGCCAAATGTCAAAACCTTTTGGAAAAAAAAATAGCAAAACACAAATCCCAGGAGTTTCCTTTCAAAAACAAAGTATCGTTCCACTGGAAAAAAGGTAGGATAATAGGTTTTGCAATTCTCCATTCCTTTTGGTAAACAGGGAACACCCCTGTGGTTTGATAATCTCACGCAGGATGAAATAATGCTAAACTCAAAAAGGTGACCTCATCAGCAATGATATCATCTCCATGCAATAAGTAATAGACGGCACACTTGTGTTACTATCTGAAAGCGTCAGGATTGAAGCCACCTTCTAAAAATATTGCACCAATTTAGGGGATAAGTGGTTGTTTATGTTTCATAAAACAAAGCACATCAAACATGCTATACACATGGACAGTTACTCTGCAAGGCTCTTTTCCAATGTTCCCTCCAAGAAAAACAGAAATCGTTTCAGAAAAAAAAAATTTACAAATGGAAAGTGCTCAACTTTGGATGTGAATTCAACTTGAATTGGTCCATTTTTAAGTCTGATAAACAATTGCATTTCAATCTGCTACCAAGGGAACACTGGAATTATTTAAAACACGTAATGAAACTACAGTTAAACAGAACTGTAGTAAAAAGTTGCTGTCTTGCTGCGTCTCATCAAACAGGAGCCCAGACTCACCAACTCCAATTCATCCTCCTCCGTCTGTACTCAGCAAACAAGAGGGATAACACAGTTACTAACAATAGCATTGCTTCCAAAGATGAAAGAAAAAGTCACGTTTGTGCTTTACATTTTTATTCATGTCAATTAATAATGCGAATTTGCCTCCTGCCTGTGAATAATGCTGGCAGGAAGGACGGCACGTAATGCAGGTCGCTTGATAAGAAATACTGTACCAAAGACATACTTTGGCAAAACTAAAGCAGAAAAAGTAATAAAAGCAAGAACACAACTACACATTGACATCATATGTAAGTATGCAACACAGCTGTTTCTGGCTGCGTTGATGCAATACACAGTGAGCAAACTAACCAAATATTTCTCACATACAATCACTGTGCCATCCCAGCACCTCTAAGAATTCTCCTTCCAAATTCCTCAGAAAGCCAAAAACTATGTGGAATTTTATGTCATTCCTGACAGCAGCGCAGTAAGTGGGTACTGTGCACTTCTAACGTTAGAACTGCACCAACACAACACTCTTTTTGTACCTAATTCTAATTATTTTAAAAATGATTTTCACTTTAAAATCTATCTAGTGCATTTCCTGCTCTCCACACTTCAGTTTTCCTAAAAAAACCCTCAGCTTTACGAATCATTACTCCAAACGTAACTGTAGCTTTTGTTATTTGGATTAATTTTGTATTATTCATCGTGAATACCAGTACAAATGTAAGCACTTGTGGTATCTTAAAGACAAAAACAAATTATTTAGAGAGTACTTCTGTTGCTTATATCCCGCTTCTCTTGGTTATGGTTCGTTCTTCCATACACAGAAAAGAAAGAACACCCGTATCAATGTTCAAGAATTCTACGTGACAGTGAAAGACCAAAAGGATTTGGTCAGCCAAATGGAAGGAGGAATAGAACAACTCTTCCTGACAGACCTGTTCTGCCCTCAGTGCTGTGGTTGCTTCATGCCTGACTCAGTACTTGGTGCTACACGAAACCAGGCTGAGCAAACATTATTACCAACATGCCAAGCTGCATAATAGTATTGAAACGTACACAAATAGGGCCTGGGACTGATCCTCATCACCCTTTCATGTCTCCATTGAAGATGGGATGCCCAGCATCACACACTGTGCCACACAGGTTGCACTCCAGTACGTCACACTGAACAGGAGTTTTTCTCAGACCATCATTACCACTGAAGCTATGTTTTGTATCCCACAGACATTACAATCCAGGAAAAACAGGTACAAATTTGCTTTGGAGCATGTTAATGGAGTTTGTATTAGCAATAAAATGAGCTATTCCTGCACAGAATAATGCATAAGCCTTCTTAAAACCCACATCCTCCAAACCAGTTATGTTCTCAGTGCCAAGTCAGTGAGGCATCAAAACAAAATCCAAATCTAAATCTCTAGGATTGCTCTCTTAACCATGCTTAGGTCAGATTGCTAGCTTACGCTTTAGAAAAAAGGCTTCTCTATTACTGTAACCTACAGTCACAGATGAGATAGTGTCTTCCTATGCGTGTGGGCAAAAGAAGTCGTTTTGACCCCAAATAAAACTAGCTCCAGAACAAATGTTTTAACTTACCAGCGGTGGCATCATACCCTTGCTGGAGGGTGGGATGACGACACGGAGGTCCGGTTTGCGATTGTTCATTCCAAGATTACCTCCTCCAGGTGGAGGTGGAGACTTTGTAGGCATGACTTTGCCTAAGCCATTCCCACCGCCAGCAGTGCCGAGCAGGCTTGGTGAAGCTCGAGAATTCACAAACCCATTTCCTGAAAAACAAACGTACCTCAGGACACACATACCTCGAGAGCAGGAGCCACAGCAAATCGTGGTGTGTGCACAAATTATGTAACCTTTCTTTCATAAAACTTCCAATGCAAACTTCTCACAAGAGGAATGGCACAGAGTAACCAAACAAAAGGCACTGCACCCAGAAGATCAATACATAAAGCTGGTATTACCTTAAGGGCTCTGCATGGCAGCTTAAATACTGAGAACAACTACTGTCAAAGAATTGTTTATAATAACATATGTTGGTTTTGGTCTTTCCTTTTTCCAAGCTGAATTCTCAAGACACTGAGCTTCTGCACAGCCTCACTGCATCCTTACTCCCACTCCACACAGAGCACTAACTGTACAAGATTGCTGTCTCTGAGAATAAGTCTCCATTTCTACAACGGATTCTACAAACACATTTAGGATCTGCAGGATTTCTGTTCCTACTCAACAATGAAATTAATTTCAAGTTGCAGTAACATACGTTGTCTGGTTAGCATAAGTGGTAATGATAAGGAGAACAAATTCTTTCCATTTCAATTCATTCTGAGCTCTGGGCACAGATATACGTGTTGCTCATGTCCAGTGATTGATTTTACACAGGTCCCTACCCCTTATGCTGGTGTGCACAGTGAAGGACAATTAGATGAGCCCCATCCTACATACAGGTCCTGACTTCAGCACTGCAGTCTCCAGCAACTGACTGTGCTCAGCACACAGCCTTGAGTCTATACTCTGATCAGAAGAAAGTAACACAATACTGAAACAATTCAGTGCACAGTACTGCATTTTCCTGTAGCAATAGGAGAACATGTCACGTTCACTATGGCATATTTGTCAGAATTTTTTTTAGGCCACCATATAATGATTTTACCAGACTTATTCCAACAACTCCCCAGATACCCACACCTTATTCAGCTGCAAAGGAAAAGCGTTAAGCAACAGGATTTTACAGCAGGGAGCTCTATAGCTCACACTACCGAAGTTGTGTGTGCATGTATAAACAAATACAATTCATAATAACATTATGTTTATACTAACATTCCAGTTCTGAAAGCGGCCTTTATAGTCACCGTTCAGGGGAAGTCTATTACACAAAGTTCACTGTGTGGGAAATTCTCTTCTAACAGCCTGTAGTGCCACGCTGGCATGAATTTTGTATTATTATTCTAATTTAAATAGGCCCCTATGCCCAATCCAATTTTATTACATTAAATACATGTTAATCTAAAAGCAATTAAAATAAGAAAGATATCAGTGTCACATTGTACCTTCTTTAGTAAAATTCCTAATGCATTTTATAGCGAGGATGAAGAACAGTAACTATCAGTAGGACAGCACAACATTTAATGAAGGTGATACTGAGCTCATCTGTGTCAAGAACCCAGCAGTGAATTCAGCAGGCTGCTAATGAGAGAGCCTCTCCTACTACACCAATCCTTAATACAGGGGGGAACTGTCAAATGCAGTCTTCATCTTTTCCCTGCCTGATATCAGTTGAACCTTATATATTACTTTCATCAGTTCAGCAGTGGAAACAGCAAAGATTAATGTAAGAATAACAAAATCCTTATGCTGACGTGAAGATAGAATCACAGAATCAGCAAGGTTGGAAAAGATCTCCAAGATCATCCAATCCAACCATCCACCCATGGTCAATATTTCCCACTGAACTAAAGATGTCCTATTGAGTTTTATAGAGGTCTTTTGGAAAGTAGGGCACTGCTAAATATTTTTCAAGAAAAAACAAAATGGTTGGGATGAACTGATCTAAAGTTTGCAAGCACAATTGTTGTCCACATGTCACTAAGCAGTACATTCACAACTTTCAAGTGAGGATTTCAAATTAGACTTTGTTGCTCTGTGGATTTCTTACTGTGCCAAATGCCTGACCATACATGGATGATCTGATTGCTCCTTTATTTCCAAGGCTCATAGCATAAAGACAAGCTTTTCTAATTTAGTACTTTCCTGAAGCACTTTTAGGGGACGTAGGCGAATCAGTTTTTTCTGAGAACTGTACCATCTTACTCAGAAGCCAGGTAGGAAAGAAGGGATACAATGATAGCTGCAAGAAAAAAGCTTTTTGTGGCAGCATCCTTCCTCCGTAACCACAGCAAAAATCTATTTCACAGTTAAAGTTTCTATGTTCTTCAACAGAAAATAACAGAATTTCTTGGGATGTTTCAAGGTTAGAAATAAAATTAAGCTAAAGAGGCTGGGAATTTTGCTTAGACTGGACAATACAAAGTAGAGCTCTACAGTAGGAGAAAACTGGCAACTTTTCATCATGAGTTAGAAGAGACTTGCAGGAGCTCCAGGCAAAAAAAAAAACCAAACAACAAAAAACCCAACCACAGACACAGAGAAACCAAATCCACACAGAATTGGTTTATTTCCTAATTGCTGTGGCAGGTGTATGGGTTGCTTCATGTGGTAGGACATAGGAATGAAGCACAAGAGCATACAGAACAAGTACAGGGCAATTCCAATGTTATGTTGTAAAAGGGAGGTCACACAGACAAAGAAACCATAAAAATAGAAGTTCTGCACTACCTCTGAGGTATCTGAAACTGTGGGACATCTTTATTAAATAGATGCATCGATACCTATCCATTATAAATGAGCGTACACATTAGCTATGAAAAGCCCACACCGCATCAGGTCACAAAGCAAACCTCCCCAAAGGACTGAGCAGAAGCTGAGCAGGTCAGGAAAAAGATGCAAGGGAAGAGAAATTATTTGAAAACAGGCACACTTTTACCTAACCTAACTGTATCTAACACATTGTTACAGCACCCTCCATTTTATAAAAAATGACAGCGCGTTTAAAGACCTTACCGTGCTAAAAGAGTTGGTGTTTGAATCTAATAATAAACAGAATGTTATCACTCAGTATGCTGTCAGTACTACTACATGCAATGCTGTGGTGCTCCACATTGCACTTGAAGCCTCAGAACAATACATCTCTTTGGAACAATGGAGCTCTGTATCACATTTTGGTCTAGCCTGTAACTCCATTTCCTGTCCTCTGTTTTCAAGTATTTTGGTAGCTCATGTGTTAAAGCTGGACAGTGTCTTTCTTCCACACCCAATACAGTCATTTCCTGCAACCCTTATTACAAGGCTCTGCCAATCCTTCAGAAACATTTCATGCTTTTAACAGTGCTGTCAAAAACAACAAACTCTGTGCCATTGCCTCCTCCAGGCAGTCTGACTCGAGCAGCAGGGCAGAGTCGAGCATTTGTTCTGTCAAATGGCTGAGCACTTCTTAAAAACAGAAAACAAGCGTTTAGAAAAAATATGTATTAAGAATGGGAAAAATGGCAGAAGTGTACAACAGTACGGGTATTGACCTAAGAGAAGCATTTTGCTAAAACTTCTTTTTCTTCTCTTTAGCAAACACTTAAGTATTATTCATACCTATAACTTGAAGAACCAGATGCTGTGGCTGCAGGAAGACTGTAGAATATTCATTTCTAGAATGAAACTTTAAGCATGTTTTGTTGCTGCTGAAGATCTAATAAGAAAATTAAATTAAAAGCTAAGAGTGAGAGGATAACGAAAAGCACAGCATTTCTTGGAATAAGGTCAGGAGCCAGAAAACGATAACCATTACAGCATGATGCAACTCCTCGGCACTCTGCCAAACCAAGGCTGTAATGCCCCCATAAATTCTGCTCAAATTTTGTACCATACAGAAATTTTATCCACCACATCCAATATACACCTTCTCCAAATACAATTATTTTAAATTTAAAAACCAAACTGAAAATGGAAGCAGAATATAATTCCCTATGCACGCATAAATTCAGACTACTGCTTTTATTTCCATTGCAAGAGTTTTATTTAACTGATTTTTAAGCACAACTATAAGCGCATTTTCAAGACACGTTTTTGGAAAACAGACACCCATGCAAAGATAAGCTCCCAATCCTAGAAATCATTTTAAACAGATTTTAAAATTCACACTTCAGTGAATTGCTGTGATAATAAGCATGGCCACTGTGCATGAGCCCACTTCTTCTTTAGCCTTCTTTCCTAAGCCTAAGTTTTAAAATCCAGCTATTTCAACAAGAACTGAACCCCCTGCCTTCAGAAACGTAATGCAGCTTAATCTCATTTATAGTCCTCCAGCCCAAGATGAAGCATTCAATTACACGAGCCAGACTCATATATCACTGTACAAATCACATCAGCTGAAACAATGAACACACGTGGCTGGAAAGCACTCCATGTTCTTATTAATACTCAAGGAATAAATTACAGTCGTTGATGCTATTAATCTTTTCTTGTGGTTCACCTCTGGAGAAACTAAATGGCTGCATATAGTTCTGAAAAATAATCATGGACAAGGAGTGAAATAACGTCAGATTAAGCAAAAATAAAAATGGTAGCAAATGAATAGATACACAAGTGACATCATGTAACCTGACAAAAGTCACATAAATAGAAGTAAACTGAAAAGTACTTTTGCAAACACTGAACCACTATACCTACAGAACACCAGAAAAGTGCTCACACACGAGACTTGGGTTGGGGATAGAGCTTTGAAACCAAATCTAACAATTGCATTTCTACTTGCAGTAGCTACCCCAGTTGGCGTGCCTGAATGTGACAGCTTTAAGCAGGAATCAAAATAAAACTACAACAAACAACCCACAGCTGCAGCTCACACCACTTTCAGCTTTGCATAGAGATCTCTGCTGATGCCACCCTAGTTTTATAACTCCACCTTAGATCTCTGCTGCCTTTGGGAAGGCTGTATTGCGACATTTCAAGGAAGCTGAAGTTAATCTATTTCCACAGATCTTCAAAGATCAATCCTTCAGATAATACTATGGACAGAATTAAAGTATACCTTTGACAGCAGTCAATCTTTGAAACATGTACAATTTATACTTCTAATGGCAGTACTTTAGATATTAAAATGCAGCAAAAAAGACACACCATATTGCCAAGGAAATGCACTCTAGCAAAACTGAAGGGCAAA